CCCGAGCTAGCCGAACTCAAGAAACAACTAGAGGACCTCCTAGATGCAGGCTACATTCAGCCCTCTAAGGCCCCGTATGGCGCTCCCGTCCTCTTCCAAAAGAAGAAGGATGACTCCCTTCGGATGTGCATAGACTACCGAGCCCTTAACAAGGTAACCGTGAAAAATAAGTATCCCATACCCTTAATTGCGGACCTTTTTGATCAGCTTAGGGAAGCCCGAGTCTTCTCCAAGCTCGATTTGCGTTCGGGCTATTACCAAGTGAGAGTAGCCGAGGGAGATGAGGCCAAAACCGCATGCGTCACTAGGTATGGTTCCTTCGAGTTCAAGGTAATGCCTTTCGGTCTAACTAATGCTCCGGCTACGTTTTGCACAATGATGAATGAACTGTTTCATCCATATCTAGATAGGTTTGTGGTTATTTATCTAGATGACATCGTTGTGTATAGCAAGTCTTTGAGTGAGCATGTAGGTCACCTCAAGCTCGTCTTGGATGTACTTCGGGAGAATGAGTTGTACATCAAGCTTGAGAAGTGCGACTTTGCACAACCACAAGTGGAATTTCTAGGTCATTTCGTGAAGGACGGACAGCTCCTCATGGACCCTAAGAAGATCAAGTCCATTCGAGAATGGAATCGGCCCAAGACCGTCCCCCAATTACGGTCCTTTCTTGGCCTTGTTAACTATTATCGCAGGTTTATACTTGGCTACTCATCCATTGCAGCTCCTCTTTCAGACATGCTCAAGAAGGACAAGAAGTGGGATTGGACCGACAAATGCCAAGCCGCGTTCGACAAGCTTAGAGACATTGTCTCGAGTGAACCGGTTATGACATTGCCGAACGTCGATCAACCCTTCGAGGTACATTCCGATGCCTCGGACTTTGCTATTGGTGGTGTTTTGATGCAGGATAACCATCCCGTGGCATACGAGAGTCAGAAACTCAACGATGCCGAGAAGAAATACACCGTACAAGAGAAGGAGATGACGGCCATTGTCCATTGTCTTCGGACATGGCGTCATTATCTCCTTGGGAACTCGTTCGTGATCAAGACGGACAACGTGACCACGAGTTACTTCCAAACGCAGAAGAAGCTCAGCCCTAAGCAAGCACGGTGGCAAGACTTCTTGGCGGAATTCGACTACATCATGGAGTACAAGCCGGGGAAAGCAAATGTGGTGGCCGACGCTTTGTCTCGCAAGACGGAGTTTGCTAACCTCAATGGGAGTGAGCCTAGGACCGATTTCACAACTCGGATCCGAGAGGCCATGGACCATGACCCCACGACCAAGCATCTCCTCGACCTTGTCCGGAAGCATCAAACCCGGAAATTTTGGGAGCAAGACGGCGTTATCTTCTCAAGAGGAAGGCGGATCTATGTCCCAAGACACGAGGGGATCCGAAAAGAGATCCTTAAAGAGTCCCATGACTCTCGGTGGGCAGGCCATCCCGGGGAGAAGCGTACCTTAGCCTTGGTAGCCGAGAACTACTATTGGCCCCACATGAAGGAAGATGTCGAAGCCTATGTCGAGACATGCCTTGTTTGTCAACAAGACAAGATCGAGCAACGACTCCCCGCGGGCTTACTACAGCCCTTGCCCATTCCGAACCGACCTTGGGAGTCAATTTCCATGGATTTTATCATGAACTTACCCACGGTTAACAAATTCGGTGCTATCTTTGTCATTGTAGACAGGTTTAGCAAGTATAGCACGTTCATCCCGGTCACGGCCAAATGTCCAGCCGACGAGGCGACCAAGGCCTTCTTCAAACACGTGGTCAAGTATTGGGGCTTACCACGTTCCATCATTAGTGACCGAGACGGGAGATTCACGAGCAAATTTTGGCGGGAGTTGTTCCAACTCATGGGAACCGAACTCCGATTCTCCACAGCCTTCCACCCTCAAACGGACGGCCAAACGGAGCGCATCAACGCCCTTTTGGAGCTCTATCTCCGGCATTACGTGAATGTTCATCAAGGAGATTGGCCGGATCACTTGGACATGGCTCAATTTTCACATAACCTCCAAAAGAGCGAGTCCATCGGTAAATCCCCATTCGAAGCAGTCCTTGGACGTCAACCTACGACTCCAAGTGGACTGTCCATCTCATACAACGGCCCTAGCCCAGCGGCCCATGCCTTTGCACGAGAGTGACAAGAAGAGACGGATCAAACGTGACTTTGGCTCCACAAAGCTGCCTATCGGATGAAGAAGTGGGCGGACAAACGAAGGAGACCTCAAGAATACAACGTAGGAGATCAAGTGATGGTCAAGATCGTGCCCCACAACTTCCGAGGAATGCAAGCCTTGCACCGAGGCTTGACACGCAAATATGATGGCCCATATCCCATCACCGAGCGCATTGGGAAGATGGCGTACAAGCTGCAACTTCCCAACCACATCCGGATCCACCCCGTCTTCCACGTAAGTGTCCTTAAACCCTATAAAGCTGACCCAAATGATGATGACAGGAACAGGTCCAAACGAGCCCTAATGCCCGAGTTGGTCGAGTTCTCCAAACAAGCCGAGATCATCCTCGATCGTCGCAAGAAGAGGGGAACCAACACCCACGAGTATTTCATCAAATGGAGAGGCTTACCAGACTCCCAAAACACTTGGGAGGAAGTGGACAAATGCGGAGCATTCGCGGACATGATCCGCGAGTACGACGCACACCACTAAGCACTTCGGCCGGCACAAGACGTGACGAGGACGTCCCGAGTTTAAGTGGGGGAGCATGTGAGGCAAAAATGGGGTAATTTTTCACCTTCCTAGTCCTTTTCTTTTTTCCCGTTCATGTATGTCCACAGGTACATTCACGGATGGAGAAACAAGCGCACATGGACACGGAATGGCCGAGAAGCTTCCTTAGCGGGTCACGGACCACGGACGACCTCGGACCACCATGCCCCGACGTCCCAACACTCTCCCAGACCTCCAGGACATGTCCAGACCACGTCCATGCCAAGGCCACAGTCGGACCACACTTTGACCCGAGACAAGCTTGTGAAGCTCGGATATGGCCTATGGCGAGTCCTTGGGCGTGTCCAGCATCCGTGTGTAGTTTGGGCTCGGGCCAAAGCCCATTTAGAGGTTCTAGAGTGTTCTTAGATAGGTTTAGGCAAGTCCTACCGTGTCCTTTTTCGTTTTGGGCAAGTAAGGACCGAAAAGGAAGATTAGGGGAACGAAATTGTGAACTTTCCATTTTTGATCTTGTGGCCAAACTTAATAAATAGAAGGCTGATCAGAAGTGGGAAGGCATCTCGTTTAATCCCCAAATCTCGCCCTAAGGTTTCTGAAAACCCTAGCTTCGCCGGTTCTTCTTTGGCTCTCCGTCGTCGGCTCACAAACCGCCGCTGGGTCCTCCCTTGTACGAACCGCACGTCGCACCTTGTTCCTCTTTTTCATTATTAATAAACTAAGCCGTACCGTCGGTTTCCCTTGCCATCAGACCTTCCCCTCTTCTCAAATCCCTTAGCACTCTCGGATTTCTCTAAGTCCGAAGGCTTAGCCAAGTCCCACCGAGCTCTCCCGCGTCCCATACACGTCCGAGGCTCTCCCCTTGGCCTTGGCTGCCTCACGTGGTTCCTAGCTCAACTCTAGACCCGTGACAGTAGCGGGTGATTAATAATGTGACGAATGATTAGGATATCATGTGAGTATGAATAGTCAATTTTTTTTTAAAAAAAAATTTATTTGTCAATTTTTTAAAAGTATAGGTCTTTTATGTTTAGATATAATAAGTATAAAATTTATTTGGATCAGAAAAAAGTCTAGGGTTAAAATTACGGTAAAAGAAAAATACAAAGTTTTTAATGAAATTTCTGTTTTTTAAGTAGTTACAGTACTTACAAACGAAGTTACCAACATTATTAGAAAATTTGGATAATTTCCAAAACTCAAACTCCTTGATATAAAATCCGCTATAGAAAACAATATCACAAAACTATGCTAAAATACGAGCAACAAAATAAAAGACGAAACCAATAACCATGGGTGAATAAACTCCAATTTTTAATTTAAATTTCCTTAGAAAACGTAACCACCTAATTGCGTCTCGCGATTAATTCCACGCAATAACCATCTCTTTGCCGTAACCGGCCACATTGGATAATAGAAAGTCAAGATCCAAAGGCAAAGAGATGGGCTAAAATCCAATATCCGACTTAGGTATATGAAAGACACTTGCGTCCGAAAATATTAACGTTCTATGCAAATAAAAACAAATTTGAAAACCTAACCATCAACACTCTCTAATCGCAATTGGGTCTTGGGATTAATAAAAAAAATCTCGTGTTATTTGTATTTGGTTATATTTCTGTTTAGTTTATGTAACTTTGCATACATTTCTTTTGGTTTGATTTACTTTGGCAAATCTGTAATTTGTTACTAACCAATTAAGATATTAAACCCAACTTTGTAAAGTAAACACTATGTAAACTGAATATTTTGTTTTGTAAATGCTAAACTAAGTATTGACATTAGTTTTTACTCAAAAATTAAAAAAGATACAAAATTGATGTCAACACACACACACACACACTATATATATATATATATATATATATATATATATATATATATATATATGATTCATATTTTTTTTAGATCAATTGCTATAATTAATATTTTTATTTAGAAACCAAATATAAACCAATTGTTTTAGACAACTTAAATAGAAAATTTCATAAAAATATATGAAATTGTAAAAAAATTTATCAAATAAATATATAAATTCTCTTTTTTTTCGTATAACTATATCAATTATTAAAATTCTTTATATAAACACACAATCTTTCAAAATATCAAGGAATTTTCACAAAAAATAATAACACAATTAAACGAGAGTCCGAATATTTATTTATTTTTAAATAACTGTGAAAACCATGCATAATTCAACCTCTTATACTCATATAGACATCCCATAATATTTGAAAAGTCTGCATGCATATATATGGAGAGTTACAAAGGATTGGTGTATTTCGAAGTTTTTAACAAAAATTGATTTATTTTATGCGATCGGTATAATATTTTTTTTTAAAAAAAAACAAATTATAAAAGAAGATTCACCATAACATTTCATTACCTTCCTCCAAGGCATCGTCTCCAAGCCCGAATATGGCCAGTTTTGAGTGCTTTCTCATCTGCTTTGTTCTTATCCTCCTCCCTTCTTCTTCGTCGAAGGCTTATGCATCTGTCGTCGAACACACTTTCCTTGTATTACTCTCCCACAATATTTTAATTTTAATTTCCAGTCTTTTTAACGTATGGAAAAACTGTAAACTGACGGCGTTAGTCGCTCCTGCAGGTCCAAAACTTCACGGCGAAACCGTTGTGCAAAGAGCAGGTGATACCGACAGTTAACGGAAGTCTTCCGGGTCCGACGGTAAACGTCAGAGAGGGAGACACACTTATTGTTCATGTCGTTAACAACTCCCCTTTTAACGTCACCATTCACTGGTAAATCCATTCATCACATACGATTATAGGGTCGTTTATAGTTATTAGCATGAATAAGGAGTTACTAAGAATCTGTGATTATGCTATTAATTAGTCTTGTTTTTCCACGTTTCTTGATTCTATATAGGCATGGAGTGTTTCAGTTGATGAGTGCGTGGATGGATGGAACAGATATGATAACACAATATCCGATCCGACCGGAAGATAGGTTCACTTATAAGTTTAACGTCACAGGACAAGAAGGTACGCTGCACTGGCACGCACATGTCGTTAACCTACGCGCCACCCTGCACGGTGCTCTTGTCATCCGTCCTCGAGCTGGTCGGCCTTATCCTTTTCCCGAACCCTATGAAGAAGCTCTCATCATTCTCGGTCGGCATATATACATACATATACATATGTATATATACATATAATATTTTCATACCCAATGAATCGTATATGAAAATCCATATATTGATTCGGGAAAACTTTTCGAATCGATGCAGAACAATGGTGGAACACCGATATCGAAAATCTCCAACTAAGGCCCGCTCCTCTTTCAGATGCCTACCTCATCAACGGATTAGCAGGAGATTCATTCGATTGCTCGCGGAATAGTGAGTGAAAATAAAAACATATATAAGTCTCATCCGATTCACAAATTCATATATTCAAAGCTTCTTTTTTTTTTTTTGCATCTAGAAATGTTTAAACTAGAGGTGGTACAAGGAAAACGGTACTTGCTAAGGATCATAAACGCAGCACTTAACTCACATCTATTCTTCAAGATAGCGAACCATTCCTTGCGAGTCGTGGCCTTAGACGCCGTCTACACGAATCCTTACGTTACCGACATCGTTGTCCTAACGCCAGGACAGACCGTAGACGCACTTCTCCATGCAGACCAAACCCTAGGCTCATACTACATGACCACTCAGCTTTACGTCAGCGCCACAGGCCAGCCATTCCCCGACAAAACCCTAGCCAATGCTCTCGTTGTCTACCAAGGTGCCACGTCATCGTCCCGCGCCATGCCATCGTTGCCCGACGTGACGGATACGCAGACAGCGTATAGATTCTCCTCGAGTATCACCGGCCTTGTCAGTGGGCCCCATTGGAGGCCGGTGCCTCGCAACGTGGACGAGAGGATGTTTATGACCATGGGGTTAGGTCTTGAGCAATGTCCACCGAGCATGCAGTGTCCCGGACTGTACGGACAACAATTCGCAGGCTCGCTGAACAACCGCTCGTTCGAAAATCCCAAGACATTTCCCATGCAAGAGGCTTATTTCTACAACATATCCGGAGTGTACTCCGACGATTTTCCCAATCAACCGCCGATAAAATTCGATTACACGAATTTTAACGTTAGTACGGATTACGAGTACCGGATGTTGTTTCCCGAGAGATTAACGAGCGCGAAGATCTTAAAATTCAATTCGACGGTCGAGATCGTTCTGCAAAACACGGCGATGATCACAGCGGAAAGTCACCCGATGCACCTTCACGGGTTCAATTTCCATGTGTTGGGTCAAGGGTTCGGCAACTATGAACCGAGCCGAGACGTGGGAAAGCTGAACTTGGTTAACCCGCAGATGCGTAACACCATCGGTGTGCCGCCCGGTGGATGGGTTGTCCTCAGATTCGTGGCCAATAACCCGGGTTAGAGATTTAACATATGATTCTAGTTTCTATCAAATATATTATTAATTAAGAAAATATCAATTAAAATACACAATTTTCCCGCATAATTATGCTAACTATTTCAAACTTTCAGATAAATGATTAAACGTTCAAATTGTTACTTGATTTCTGTCTCGAAATAGTACATTTTCAAAATATAGACCAACCATTATTTCCTTCTCGATCGCTGTGGTTTGGTGGTAGTGTAATATCTTGAGAATTCATATATTTGTTATATGAAATTTTTTTAATTGTTAGCGATTCAACATATGATTCTAGTTTCTATCAAATATATTAATTAAGAAAAAATCTATACATAAAATATACATTTTTTTAAAAAAAAATATATCATTTTTTTTCAAAACATTCAAAATGTAGACCAACCGTTGTTTAACCCCATTATTTTATTCTCACCGGCTTCTAAATGATGTTATTGTTCTAATAAAAATTCGGTAATATTTTGAGAGTTCACATATTTATTTATATGAAAAATTTAATTACATAGATACCTATATTAAAACTAGTTTATATACTTAATTAGGATTTTTTTTAACAACTTATGTCATACTTACTAAGTTTTGTTTTGTTAATTAGTTAGAAAAGTTGTGAAATATGAGAACTAATCTTTGATATATACGAACCGTGTAGGTGTGTGGATGTTCCATTGTCACATGGATGCACATTTGCCGTACGGAATAATTATGGCTTTCATCGTCCAAAACGGACCACATCCGGCGACCAGCTTGCCGCCGCCGCCGTTGGATCATCTCGAATGTTGTCGGGACGCCGAAATCTATAACCATCCTACGTACGACCAATATTAATTCCTCCTCCTAGATAGAAAGAGCAGATAAAAAAATAACATTTGTGAATATTCTCCTTCCCCTAACACCTGTGATTCAACCGGTTCTCTGGAAGGTTTTAATGCTGCAGTTAGGGTTGGGAAGCTTCTATCGGTTATTAAATTGTCTCTATGGGTTGAAGACCATTGCAGATTGGTTTGGTTTCTGCAATCTATCGAACCTCATCGACTGTGATATGATTGTCTTTCTAGATCAGAAATCTTACTTAAATTTTCAGGGTCAACCAAAATTTTCTCATACTCGGAAGATACCAAACAGATGGACGAACAACAAAATCTATTTGCAGGTAAATTATACTTCTTATTAGGAACCTAATTGAGTAGCATAACTAGGGGTGGACGTTTCGGGATTCGGGTCTGAATTTTGGCGTTTCAGTTTGGGAACGATTTATTTGGTATTCTAAAATTTGTACCAAATTAGTACCGTATATTATTCGGTTCGGATCGGTACAGTTCGGTTTCGTTTTTTTAAATCAAGATTTTCTTAAGAAAATTTCGGTTTTTGGAGAATTTTATAAAGCAGTTTGGTTCAGGTCCGAGAAATTTGGTTCTATAAAAAATATACCATCCGAGAATTTTGAACGGTACAGTTCGAAAAAATACCGAAATTTTTGTTTCGGTACGGTTCGGTTACTCGCTCACCCCTACTTCTTCGGAGATTATCTCAAACCAACAAAGCCAAAATCTACCAAACAAAGGTAAACGACTCCATAAACACAAAATATGAAATCTAAGATGATGTGCCAATAAAATCAAAGCAAGTAAATACACAACAAAAACCCTAACCGCACAAACAGAGAAAGAGAGAGCGCATTAGGAGAAAAAGAGAAGGTACGTACCATGGAATCGGCGACGGCCTGGGAGCGAAACTCCTCAACCCGACGCATTTCGTGATGTCGCGAGTATTTTTCTACTGGATAAACTGAAAGATCTGAGCAAGGACCATATCAGAAGAAATCGAAGGGGTTTTCGTTTAAGATGTTCAACAATGGAGAACATAAAATTTCAAAATCCCCAGAAAGATTCAAGAACAATTCGAGTGATTTCTTGCGACGATTTTTCTACTGGGTAAACCACAAGAACCATCAATGAAGGAGAAAAACCCTAACCACACAAACTGAGAAAGAGAGGGTGCATTGTCTCAATAATTCAACGAGGGAGAAGAAGAGAAGGTACGATGGAGTCGGCGGCGAAATTAGGTGGGTCGGCGTGTGAGCGAAACTTCTCAACCCAACGCGCTTCGTGATGTCGTACCGAAGATTTACATGAGTTTAGCATGTACCAAAGATCCCGAGAGATAATGATTCTTATTACAAGTGAACAAAAATAACGAAGTGATTCTTCTCGTTTCAGAGAGACGCGGACGATGAAGGAGAAAATTCAAAATCGCATTCAAGAAGAGTTGGGAGTGATTTCTTGCGTCCGAGAATGAAAAAAGAAATGATTACCACCGTTAAAAACATTATATAGTCACCCATTCTTTGTTACAAATTGCAGTCGCAATCAACACTACTGCTGAAGGTAAACGTGATGTTTACGTATGGACTCTTTCCGAGTCTATATTGACTGATTACAAAAACATTAGTTTATAAGATTTCTGTAGGATCAAAGAATATCAACATGTTATATAAGAGGAAGAAAAAAAGTACTTTCGTTTCATGTATTTTTTTTTCTAAAAAAAATATATTAATTTGCAATTTTTTTTTCTAAATTACTATACAATCTCTCTAACTACATTAACTAAGTAATGGTTTTTACTGACATGACTTACCGAATTTTACACATTATCGTCACATGACAAAAACTTCTCATATCATTAAAAAATTTAAATTAAAATATGTATATGTAAATTTATATGTATATATATACATACATATAAACATATATATTCATTTCAATATATATATATATATATATATATATTCTAATTTTTTATTTTTATTTAATTTTTTAATGATATAGAAATTTTTTTACCTTGTGGCGCTCACGTGAAAAAAAATTCAGTGGGTTACGTTAACACCGTTCGTCGAAACCAGGGCCATCTTAGAGGGAGTGAAGCTGGATCATCTGCACAGGCCCCCAATTTTTTGGGGCTTCACTTTTTTTAAATATTATTTTATAGTTTAATATGTATTAGCAATTTAAATAAAATAAAAACTATTCTAAATTAAAAAATTTTAAAAATTAAATTTTGTTAAATTATAAGAAATATTTTATAGTGCAGTAATTATACATTTTTCAATATTGAAATAAAATAACAAATATAATAATTTAAAATCATTATATATTTTAAAAAATAAATAAATCAGTAAAAGATAACTATTATTGTATAATTTTAATCATTATTATTGTATTATTAGTATAAAAACTAAAAAAATAAACAAAGTTTTATGAAAATAAATTTTATTTTAATTTGGATTACTCTTTAAACTAATAATTGATTGTTTTTTTAAATTTTGTATTGTAATAAATAATATAATTTATTTGTTATAGTTTATTTTATTTTTATATAATTTAAAATTTTATCTATTAATTAGTATCTTTTGAAAAATATTAAATATTTCTATAAAATTATTAGTTTTTATTTTATAATCTAATTTAAACTAAATATGATTTATGATGATTTATTAATTAACTTTAAAAATTATAAAAAAATAATTATTATTAATATATATATATATTAAACAGTACCTCCAAGATTTATGAGACGGCTCTGATCGAAACTCATTACCCGATTATGGCCATTAGAGATCGTGTAGAAATTTGGAAGTAAATTATAAATTTATATATTTTTTTTAAAGATAAAAAAAATTTATGTATTTATTAGTAAGATTTGAACATATATTTATTTAAAAAATTTCATACCGAATAACACATTTCTAATGATAAATTAATCTGAAACTAAATCATGAAGCTGCATATTTTCCATTGTATCGTTACGAGTAGAAATGATATGACAGGAAAGAATCTCGTCGACCTCATATCTCTCATATCATTTTTTACATTGTAAAATGCGTGAACGAATATCTACACAAATGATAATGAATTAATTAAACTAATTTATAAAAGATTTAGATATAAAAAGATAAGTTAAATATAAGATTGAATAGGGGATATTACAGAAATGCCTTTAAATGACACCAGCGACTTCAAGTAGTACCCTTGAGATTTTAGGGTTTTCAAGGGTATTATTGAGAATCTACATTTATAAGGGTACGAGTGATGTTGGCGTTTTTTTTTTTCTGAGGAAGGGTATCACTTGAAGTGAGATGTATCATTTAAGGGCATTTCTGCAATTGCCCCGATTGAATAATAGAAATCAACATGAAAAATAGAATAACCCGCTGGCTCGTGCTGTTGGCAATAAAATCTTCTAAATCACATTTGTCAGAAACATTCAGAAGTTGGATTTCTCTTCTCGATCGGTCCGAAAACCCTAATTGCCAATCCCTTTTTCGATTTGGAGATCAGATCTGAGATCCGTAATTCTCGATTTCGGAAGAAGCTGCCGAAGCGATGACGAAGGACTTCACTGTTCCTCCTGTGGTCTTCCCCTCTGGCGGAACTCCGGCCACCGGAAATGTCCAGCAGCGCCGTGTCCCGACGGATCCTTTTCAGCCGTCGCGTCCTTCCTCCTCCGCGATTCCGTTCATGTCGTTCGACATTGGATCCTCCGCCTCCTCTTCATCCGCCGGACCTTTCGGCGGAACAATTGCGTTCTCGTCGTCGTCTTCGTTTGGCGTAGGTGCTGCTTCATTTGAAGATGAGGAGCCTTTGCTTGACGAGCTCGGTATCCATCCGGATCAAATCTGGAAGAAGACGAGATCGATTCTCAATCCCTTTCGGATAAATCAGACCGTTCATAAGGACTCAGATCTGTCTGGTCCGATCTTCCTGTACCTCGCGCTTTGCCTTTTCCAGTTGCTCGCCGGTAAGATCCAGTTCGGCGTTATACTCGGATGGATCGTCGTCTCCTCTATCTTTCTTTACGTCGTCTTCAACATGCTCGCTGGTCGGAACGGAAACCTGAATCTTCACACATGTACGAGCTTGGTTGGCTACTGTCTACTACCCGTCGTGATCTTATCGGCGGTGTCGCTGTTCGTACCGCAGGGGGCAGGGCCAGCCCGCTTCGTAGTCGCTGCGGTGTTCGTGTTGTGGGCAACAAGGGCTAGCTCCAATCTTGTACTATCGCTCGCCGACGGAGGAGATGAACACCGTGGTTTGATTGCGTACGCCTGTTTCTTGATCTATACTCTTTTTTCGCTTCTCGTTATATTCTGATTTCCTCTGTTTTGGTGGGACTTGTTTGCTTTGGAGATGTATTATTTCATGGATCTTCGGGTGCCAAAGTGAGTAAGGAAATGCAATCTGAGCTGCTGGTTTCATGGGGATCTTGATGTAAGGCTTAAACGGACGGATGATAGCATCCACGTGTAAAGGTTTTTGATAACTTTAGATGGATACTTTGATATGGTTTAAATGATCTACTTTGATGTGTGTATCTGTCTACTGATGCTTAGACAGGTCTTCTAGGGCATGAGTTTCCTTTCTGAAATTTCTGCAGAAGTTCATCAAATGTTAAACATTTTTTTTAACAGAATTGTTGTCAAATTAGACTCCGTAGAGTATTTGAATGGTTTTCTTTTGTTGTCATAGCATGGACCAAAGTAATGCAGTAGCAAACCTATGAAACTGGTGCATATTTGTTATGAGTGTTCTAATTGTTTGCTGGTTGGAAAGAGCTTATAGCTCCGTGCTGTTTTCCATCTCCATTCTTCGTTTCAAGTTATGAAGATGTTGTACATCTTGGTTTAGTGTTTTAGGTCCCGAGCAGCGGCACAGTTAACACTGTCTAAATCATTTATCACTTATGGCTCTATTATCTCTTTGGTGATGCTTTGACAAGTAGTATGAGGGAATGAATGATCAGAATTAACTTGCATTGTCATAAGGGGTAGAGGAAAAGTTTAATGTTGGAGTTTGCTTCATGGTCGGGTTCACGGGGAAACAAGGATCAATTGGAATTTGATCTTATCAAGTTTAGTAACTTGTAGTCGTAGTTAGGTATCGGCTTATGGGGTAGTTGCACTTTTGTGTACCAGTTCTAAATTTGGGATACTTGCTATTCGGTATGGACTCAACTTGTGCTTGAAGTGATACTTTATGCAGGCAGAAGTAATACACATAAACCAATAGTATTTGCATAAACAGCACAAGCATATGCACATCATGGATACTGATTGGCTTCAGAAAGCTTAGTTTTGGTATTTTGTTTTTCATGGAGAAAGCCTTAGACTTGGTTTTTGCATGGAGAAAAGTTAGAGAGAGAAAATTCTCTTTCCTCTCTCTAACTTTACCAAACCGAGTGTAGCTCCAATCATGTTCTCATGCAAATAGCAATGAAGAAGTTGTCTCAAAAGATGTGAAAATTTCTGAAGACCCAATATCCTAGAGTTAATGTGTGCAAAAGTCACGTCTCCAGACTTTGGAAATCGAATTCCGTGCTCTATTATGAAAGAAGGCAAAACGATTAATGAATTCGTCCGAGAATTCAGTAGTATGACCACCCATCCCCATTACACCGATCTTGGTGCCACTCTCGAGGATGTTTGGAAACTTCTTAATTCTCTTCTTATTGGTTGCAACCATAGAATAATATTCAAACGTCGATAAGATAAAATGACGTTGGAGTGAGTGATCGGGAGAATGAAGGCATATGAAGAGCGGATTCAGTTTTGTAGTAACGACCACAATTTTGATGGATAATTTTTGGATAGTTCAATCGGTGAAACGGGGCGCAAAGCGTCTGTCCCATCCCAAGTTCGAGAGAAGGTATTCACATAGCTTCCTTTCGGTCCCGGGATTAGTTTGAGTCTTGTTCCAGGATATCTGATTACCCAAAAAAAAAAAGACAGTTATCGGAGACATCAAAATTGGCACGGATAAAAGTCATATAAAATGTTTTAACTGTCAAACATCTAAATATGACGCCTTTTGAGTGTTGCAGACCCAAAGATGAAGAAAATGATGAAAAAACTCATCTCACGGAAGAAGTCAAAGACAAACCGATATCATTTTGAAATTGATGGAGATGTCAAGATAAGATTACAGAAAGATTATTGGAATATTAACCTTGTTAAAATAATGGGCCGTTGATTGTTTTTATTTTTATATTTTGTTGGTCAAAATTATACTTGGGACGTGAGATTTGATTCTTGAACAAAGAAAAGATACACATTCCTATTTTATTGTTTTGCACTTTCTTTTTTAAAACGTTATTGAAGCCCTTACGAAATAAATAACTTTCGAAAATTGCCATTCTCTTCTTCATCCAAAGAGGTAACCAAACACTAAACTCTCTCTCTCTCTCTTTTATTAATCTTTCTTTTGTCTTATTTGCTATGTACATTTTTTTTTGTCTTTTTAGATATTATAGAAAAATAATGTTCCACCCATATGTCCAATAGATATAAATAGAGTGGACGCTTCAATCCAAATTCCAAAATCTTTATAAAAACTCAGTTAAACATTGTAAGTAAATAAATAAATAAAAATTTAAGCAAAGTAAGACATGTCCCACAATAAAGAATCATATTGACATTTGATCGAAACAAAACGAGACCACTAAATGTATTTATTTATTTTTTCATTATATTTGTAATATCTTTTTTTTGAAATAAATATTCAACATTAGGGGCACTCAGTTTGTTTACCAAAACGTACGAGATCCAATCCATCCGATTCACAATAGAAGCTATAATTAATAATTGTGATCGATATATATATTATATACCAATATGTATACCGTTTTTGGTTCTCTTAAATCGTAAGTTCGATTGAAATTATGATTCAGAGAATTTTTTCCAACAGTCAGAAAACGATTATGATCATCAGAAACGTAGCATCAAAACCCAAACGTAAGTCGATACAATGTGGGGTCTCATGCCCCATACATATAATTAAAAATATATAATTTATTTATAAAATTTTAATAAGAAAATATAAAATACCCCCATAAGATTTGTGTATTTTTTTTTTGTAAAATGACTATAAGATTTGGATTTTTTTACCCCAAAAAAAATATTTTCTGCATCCGCCACTATATATATATATTCTAACCAAACCAAAAGAGCATTTCTAACTTGACGAAAATATGACAATCATGACAACTAAGGAACCTAAAACCAGACAACATTACAACAGCAGAATATGCTCATATCATATCCCACATCATCATCATTATTATCAATATCAAGCAATGTTTCTTCATAAGATGTGTATTGAGCATTTCAATCCTTCTCGACACTTGCTAAGAGCGTTGTAACGATTTCCTCAACCATACCTTTAGCGAAGCTAAACATGTGACCTCCTCCCGGAACCTCGTGGTAGCGAAGCCACGGAAGTTTCTGAGCTATGTAACGCTGAAGGGAGATGGGAACAAGGGCATCTTCGTCACCTTGCCACAAATGGACAGAACCCTCATTGCTTGGGAACGGGTTTTCGAGCTGTGTCGGGTCGAATTCCCATTTCCCAAATCCAACAATCATATCTCGAAACAGGCTCTCGTGTGTTCCTTGTTGCGTTACTAAATGCTGAGGAGATCACACAGAAACTGTCATTGTCATTTGATTATGATATGATGATGAGGATATGTCACTATCATTTGATGATGATGATGAAGATGATGGAGTAAAAGGAATCGAAGTGACTGTGAAGGAAGAATGATGGTATGAAGTATCTGTGTTCCCTGTTGCCTTTATCAGTGGCTGAGAGCATACAGAAACTATCATTGTCATTTGATGATGATATATTGTGATGATGGTGATGGTGATGGTGATGATGGAGTAAAAGGAATCTAAGTGATTCATACAGAAACTGTCAATGTCATTTGATGATGATGAAGATGACCATGGAGTAAAGGAATCGAAGTGATTGTGAAGAATGATGCTATGAAGTCTCTGTATGTTCCTTCTTGCCTTATCAATGGCTGACAGATCATACAGAAACTATGTCATTGTCACTTCATGATGATGATGATGGAATAAAAGGAATCTAAAGTGATTGTAAAGGAAGAATGGTGCTATGAAGTTCCTCAAGAAAATCAGAGAATGTACCTCGTATTCCCTCCTCGCAGCACCAATCTTAAAAATGATCTCTTTGTCTGATTGAGACAACAACCCGAGATTTCGGGACACAACGCTTGAGCCTGGGAACCATTTCTGAGTGTTCCACCAATGAGTAAGCCAAGGAGCATGGTGAGCCACACGAACCGCCCATTGGTCCCTTGGCGGTTGCTGGTTAAAAGCTTCCATGGACATGTTCGAGGGCAAGTTCTTCCACCAGTAGTTAATTACCGGAGCCACAAGGGTCGCTCCGGCTAACCTGTTCAAAACCAAGAATTGATAACCATAGCACAAAAGAAATTAGATGTATCCCTGTGAAACAATGAGACTGACCACATGGCAAAATGGTTCATACAAGGAGAGGTTTATCATGGTTTCAAATATTAGGAAATGAAACGTAATGATTTGTAGACGTTAAGATATTAAACAACGAAAAAAAGGTTACCCGCAACTAAACACAAGCCAATTAACAATTAATCACTACTAGTATAGTGAATACGCATAAATTATTCTGTCATTTTCTACTGGGACCCTGAAATCTTTTCTTTAATGTGAGATGAGTGTATCATACCTGTGTGGAATGTACTTAAGGCATGCCCATATCGCCTGTCCACCCATCGAATAACCAAGCACGTAGAATTTGGATCCGAGATCCAGTTGATCAGCAAGTTCTTCTATGTCTAATGCCAAGCTTTTCGGAGTCCGTTTCGGGTCGGCATCGCTCTCTCCATAACCAGGTCTGTCAATGGATACCATGTAAAGGCCTAGCTCCTCCACTTTATCCTAGCAGATTGATCCACGGTCATGGTCAAATGGCATAGTACGAGCACCATTCACAAAAGGCAAAAAAGAACCCTTTTCAAGTACCAAGACTTACAGGCCAAATGGTAGATTACTAGACCTTAATCTCTTGTTACATGACTTTGACTCGTGTTTACATACTATCCTCTAATGCTGAATGGCAGTAGTAATGTAACCTGAGGTAGTTACTTTTTCCATTGATAACTTTGTTCAGCACCGGTTAATGACTTCATAATCTTTTTGGTACCCTTTCTGAGTGCAATGAACGAGAATAACGAGTAAAAATGAGAGTTTTGAGCAAGTACCGGTGAGAGTAGAGTTGCAAAAGCAGCATCATGCCTACAACTATCAAAACCATGAACGAAGACAACCTTATGCCTCGCCTTCTCTCTCGGTACCCCGTGCTCTTTGTAAGCCAAATGCCTTCCATCTCGTAGCTTTATTCTCGGCGCTGTGACGGGAGGACCACCAGGAGAGCCACAGATCTTTGGAGGAGGAGGCTGGATCGCTTGATAAGTGTAAGCCACGAACCCAACAATGAACACCAGCAGAAACTTCTTGACCAAACCTGAAATTTCACAGGATCGATCCAGGGATTATCAATTCTTGAAATTGAAACTTCAACAGCAAGAAACATGGTATAGCTGTAACTGGTCAAGCCTCAGTGATCCTATCAAGAACATGAAGAACATATTCAAGAGTCATATCCGAAACTAACTCCATGCGAGAGGTTAATTAATATCTGTAATTGTTCAAAGAAGTTTGGATTGTGAGATTTTTGTTGACAACCCATCAACCAAAATCACAAGAAAATTCAAACCCAGCAAACTTTACGAATCATTCAAAGAACGCGCACTAGTACCATGGGCATTAAGATTCCAAAACCAACAAATACTCCTACAACACAGTTGCTGTCGGGGTAAACCGTATTTAAATCACCGACTTTGTCTCCATTTTCAGTAGAAAACGATATCAAATCCAAAAAATGGACAAACCCAGATCTAAGGGATTCTGGTTTCGCTTCAGAAACCTCAATTTGAAAACAAAACAAAAATCAGGGGGCCCGCAAGTAATTTTCCATTGCATGAAACTCTGAACTTTGTTCACTAGACATTCTAAAGGCAAAATAATTAAGAATTAATATCTTGAAGTCATTTAAATTTTATTCAGATTCATTTGAAAAAGCACAAAATTTCAAAATCACAAATATCTGAATCTTCTCCTACAAACTTTTTCCACATGCTTCGCGATCAAAAGCGTAAGAGCATAAGCCGACCGATTCGTTCAGAATTTTCCATCTGAAAGCTTAAAGGACAATCGAAATCGAGAATTCAGGGAGAACCAAAGAAGCAAAACCTGAGTGACGGACACTGGTTTGAGATGTCGCAGATGCTGTCGAAGCCCCTGGGCTTGCTCGAGCCGCCATTGATGGAGAGGAAGAGGGAGAGAGAGAGAGATGAAGAGGGTGAGTAGTTGCAAAGGAGGAACAACACTGACAATAAATTCATCCGTATATTTTGTTTAATTTATTTATGTATGTATATTTTGTTTAATTATTCGGCTTTCTGTTTTTGTCTCTTTGAATTTTTCTTGTAACAAAGTCCTTAGCAATCGGACAAAATAATCTTAGGTGCATGTATTTTTTTTTCTATAAAAAAAATCAGAAAAGATGGATTCTGCGTCATCTTTTTTTTTTTGGGGGTCATATTTTAGGTGAATGAATTCGTGGTAGTTGTAACCACCAGATTTTCTTTTCTAAGAATGAACAGAATTATTAAAGCTTTTTCATGACAATATTTGGTATTAATCGATCGCTTGACACATAATGAACATATTGAAATACAATCAACGATATGGTTTCAGACACATATTTATATAATATTATTTTTTATTTTTCAGTTTTAGGTCGTTCTTACTGCTTCATCTGTATTGGTTTAGATGGAATAGTTTTTTTTTTTCATCTTTTGTTATTAACATTCATCCTACTCAAATGTTTTTTGAGATACATTTATTTCAACGATTTAAAAGTAATATTTTAATATTTTTTTATATGTTTTTGTTTTTTGTTTAGAACAACGTATGATATTTTAATCTATTTATTCTTTTGCTAAGGATAAGAGAAATTCTTATCTATTTAACAAAAAAAAAAAAGAGAAATTCTTATTCATATACATTGTTTAGGCATCATTCGATGTCATTTCGATCGGCCATTTGTCCACAAACATGTTGATTCTAACACATCAAGTTTGTATCTTGGATCGGGAATGACCGAATCGACATGGTTGTTTCGTGTCCCGTTGTCTCTGTCTTCGGCGTCACTGGCAGGTTCCATTTGCGTTCGAGTGAGGTATATATTTTGTTCTCGTTCGGGTGACACCTACTGTATTTTGAATATACCTATCTTCTCTTGAGTTTCATAGATGGATAATTAAGGTTTAGAAATGTAACGATGTTTCATATATATATATATATATATGTATAATATTTCCTGATTGGGCAAAAAATATGTATATCGATGCAGTTCCCATACGGGTCTATGACCTATTAGACAGAAGTGCTGAACCAAACCAATGTTTTGGTAGTTGGAGATGGTATTTTCATAGGCTTGTGTTTTTCGTACGTGACACAAGTAATCATATATTGTTTTGTCCTTTATTATACATCCTCCAATTTTTATTTTTCTTTTTAGATAAAAAAAACATAACCATCCATTTCTTTCAGCCAATTCCTTTAGCCTTGCTGAAAATCAGGACCTCCTTCCATGATCTTCTCTACGACCCTTTTCAATTCAACTCTCTTTCCTTCGTTCCTTTGTCTCCCTTTTTTTCCTCCTTCCCCAAAAGACAAAAAAAAAGGCTAACTCTTGATTTCAATGTAAAAGTTTCAAATCCGCCATCTTTGTATAGCTTCTTCATTACCTTTTTGCAAAGTCTCCTCATTTGTTTCCTTCTCTCTTTTTTTTCTGGGTTTTATGATACATATGTTGTTGTTCTATTCTCTGAAGATGTCGTAGGGTAGCTGAGAGAAAATCTAAGTATTACGGTTCGTGTGCTTCCAAACTGATTTCGTATGCATGGTTCTCATGTAAATATTGTTCCTTCTGGTTCTTTGGTAGATAGAAATGAGAGTGGGGATCATTGTTTCGTGGCGACGGGGCTTTTTGTTGTTCCTTATCGTTGGTTTGAGCTTATTTCCCCTTGGATCATGTCTGGATGGAGATGATTACAGCAAAACAGGAAGCCCTAAAGTTCTCATTCCTGTTACAAACATTGTATACAATCGGCTTCAGAATTTAAAGAATGTCTTGAAGGCTGACATTGATCGAAATTTAGGATATTGCATTACGAACGTGTACGCATTCTTAATCACTTCTTCCGCTCCTTTGTTCAATTCTCTTTACCATCTTACATCGTTGGTCTCTAATGTTGTCCCTCTATTGTTTACAGGAAGAAAGATTGGGATGAAGCATTTAACTTTGATAAAAACTTGGATTTCTTGAGTAATTGTGTTAAGAAAACTAAAGGTACAACAAATTAGATGATCATTTTTGTGACTTTAGATTAGAGTTAAAACATAGTTATACCTTTGGTGTGAATTTCTTCTCTTCTTGTTTTGGTAGGGGATATGACGCTTCGGCTATGTACAGCTGCAGAGATAAAGTTTTACTTTAGTAGTTTTGTTAAAAGAGATCAAGTAACATCGGTTCACGTAAAGCCTAACATTAACTGTAATTTGGCTAAATGGGTTTCGGGGTGTGAGCCGGGATGGGGTTGTATGGCAGATGACAACAAAAAGTTCAATCTAAACGACGTTAAAGCTCTTCCCTCTCGGACCCGTGACTGCCAACCTTGCTGTGAAGGGTTCTTCTGCCCTCAAGGTCTCTCTTGTATGATACGTAAGGGATCGATATCTCTAAACATTTCACTGATTGTTATAGAAAAAAAAAACTCGAACTCTGATTTTTATTCTTGTTGTTTTTCATGGATTTCTGTAAATGCAGCTTGTCCGTTAGGCGCTTATTGTCCACTCGCAAAGCTTAATAAAACAACGGGAGTTTGTGAACCGTTAAGTTTGATATTGTGTTGTTCTTATTCTCTTAGTAGATACAAGTTTGATACATACTTTGCTGATACAAAGACTCTCTCTGCAGATACAATTATCAAATTCCTCCGGGAAAATTGAATCATACATGTGGTACTGCAGATTCATGGGATGATGTTGATGGTAGTGCTGATATGTTCTGTTCTCCGGGATCATATTGCCCAACCACAATTCAGAAGATCACTTGCAGTAGTGGGTATTGATTTTTCATCTCCGATCTCATGTTATTTTCTCAAAGAACCATATCAAATCTCATTGCTTCTGTCATCATATCTTATGATACGATGTTTAAAGGAAAAGTTTAAAAGCATTGTGTTTTGTTTCATTCACGTTTTCCGACTTAGTTTTCTTACATGTTATGCAGACACTACTGCAGGAAAGGTTCCACTTCTCAAAAACGTAAGTCTTTAGAAGTTGAATAAGCCGCTCCAACACTATAAACATGCTTTTATGTATCCATAGGCGTTGATATGAGAATCATTTATCTTATTTTGAGTTTACGGTCCTTTCTTTAACAGATAACAATTGAAGATATCTTATTGTAAAATCTTTTCTTGATACTTTGTTCAGCATGTTTCAAGCTTGCTACTTGCAATCCAAATACTGCAAACCAAAACATTCATGCTTATGGAGCCATTCTTATTGTAAGTTTCTAGCTTATTACCCCTTGAGACATGACCTTTTTACCCTTTTACCTTTGGCGATGGAATTCCCACTTTGATCTTTTCGATTTAGTATGGTTATATTCTTAAATGTAATCTTGTTATTGTTTATGAAGGTGGCTCTAAGTCTTCTGATGATCATAGTCTATAACTGCTCGGATCAAGTTCTTGCTACGAGAGAAAGAAGACAGGCTAAATCTAGAGAAGCTGCAGCCAGACATGCAAGAGGAACAACACAAGCTCGGGAGAGATGGAAAACTGCGAAGAACATTGCCAAGAAGCAGAATATAGGACTGACCGAGCAGTTGTCAAGAACATTCTCTCGTAGGAAATCCATGGCACAAAAATCATTGAAAATCGGTAAGTCTAGCACGAACAATGGCTTACCTCCTATTCCTTCTTCATCTGATAAGTCAAAGGAGGAGGAGGAAAAGCGTAATAATCTGACCGGGATGATGCAAGCTCGGGAGGAAAACCCGAGAAGCAACGAAGGGTTTAATCTGGAAATAGGAAGCAAGAATGTGAAGAAACAGCAGGCACCAAAGGGTAAACAATTGCATACGCAAAGTCAGATTTTCAAGTATGCTTATGGTCAAATAGAGAAGGAGAAGGCAATGGAGCAACAAAACAAGAACTTGACCTTCTCTGGAGTCATTTCCATGGCTACTGACACTGAGATTAGGACTAGACCTGTAATCGAAATTGCCTTTAAGGATTTAACACTTACGTTGAAGGGAAAACATAAACATCTCTTGAGATCTGTCACCGGAAAGTTCATGCCTGGTCGTGTTTCTGCAGTCATGGGCCCATCAGGGGCAGGAAAAACTACATTTCTTTCGGCTTTGGCAGGAAAAGCAACCGGATTGACAAGAGCTGGCTTGATTCTTGTAAACGGGAAAAATGAATCTATACTCTCCTACAAGAAGATCACTGGGTTTGTACCACAAGATGATATTGTACACGGAAACCTAACAGTGGAAGAGAATCTTAGATTCAGCGCACGATGCAGGTAACATACGGGAAAGTCCTCCACTTCACACTTATAATATTTGCCAAGAGACTTTAGATTTCATTTTTGTTATAACTAAACTGCAAAAGAAAGAAACAAAAAAACTTTTGCAGGCTGAGTGCTGACATGACAAAAGCAGACAAGGTTCTGGTTATTGAAAGAGTCATTGAGAGCTTGGGGCTACAACATGTGAGAGACTCTCTGGTTGGGACAGTGGAGAGAAGAGGAATCTCTGGAGGGCAGAGGAAACGTGTCAATGTCGGTTTAGAGATGGTCATGGAACCTTCCTTACTGATATTAGATGAACCCACCACTGGTTTAGATAGTGCATCTTCTCAGTTACTCCTCAAAGCACTTAGACGTGAAGCCACAGAAGGGGTTAACATCTGTATGGTTGTTCACCAACCCAGGTAAGTCATTTCGATATCCGAATATCACTATCCAAAAAGTTTTGTTCCGTTTAATCTCTTAAAACTTAAATCTTTGGTTTTGTTTTTGATCAGTTATACGATGTACAAAATGTTCGATGATATGATACTACTTGCCAAAGGTGGATTTACTGTATACCACGGATCTGTCAAGAAAATCGAAGAGTATTTTTCAGGAATCGGTATCAAAGTCCCCGAACGTATGAATCCTCCTGATCATTACATTGATGTTCTTGAAGGCATGGTGAAATTAAATGGTGATTTGACTGTAGAACAACTCCCTGTGAGATGGATGCTTCATAATGGTTACCCTGTGCCCCATGATATGCTTAAGTACTGTGAAGGACTCCCATCTTCCTCAGGAACAGCTCAGGCTGACGATTCCTCTGAACAATCCTTCAGTTCAGATTTATGGCAGGACCTGAAAACTAATGCCCAAATGAAAAAAGACGATATACATAATAATTACTCGGATTCCTATGACTTGTCCAATCGGGTAACTCCTTCAGTGTACCGACAGTATAGATATTTCCTCGGAAGGTAGAGTTTTCTCTTGCTATATCCCTTTCCATACTATCTTTAAGTGGACATTACAAAAATGACCATGTGAATCCATTACAAAGGTTATCATAATAAACTTGAAGTTTCTGAATACAGGGTTGGGAAGCAAAGGCTGAGAGAGGCAAGACTACAGGCATTAGATTATCTTATACTGTTAGTTGCAGGAGCATGTTTAGGAACTCTTGCAAAGGTGGATGACGAGACGATAGGTTCACTCGGCTATACATACACTGTCATTGCAGTCTGTAAGTCTTTAATTACACAAAATATGCAGAATTTGAGATCCTCACACTGTTAAACCAAACTTTTCTTTCTTCTTTCTCCTCCTTTTGAAGCTCTCTTGTGCAAGATTTCAGCACTGAGATCTTTCACAATAGATAAACTACAGTATTGGAGAGAAAGCTCTGCAGGAATAAGTAGCTTAGCTCATTTTCTGGCAAAAGACACGATGGATCAGTTGAACACAGCCATCAAGCCTTTGGTTTACTTGTCTATGTTCTACTTCTTCAACAACCCAAGATCAAGCTTTCAGGACAACTACCTTGTCCTGTTATGCCTTGTCTACTGCGTCACCGGCATGGCTTACATATTCGCCATCTTATACAGTCCCAGTGCTGCTCAACTGGTTTGTTCACCTTCATATCTCATAAAATTTTCACCATAATAAGATTTTATCTTCAACCCTCTTTATCTCTATAAGCAACATGAATAAATATCCAAAAATCGGATGTTTGGCCCATGGATACACGATTTTTGGCTATCTGAACTTTCATGGGACGAGATGGAATTTTTTTTTGTCCGTAATATGGGTACAAAAACGAGTAACTAAAAACAACGATGGGTATCCGTAAATATATGTACAGTGATATTTGTTTGTCCGTGCAGATGTCAGTGCTGGTTCCAGTTGTCATGACACTCATAGCGAATCAGGACAGGGAAAGCATTGTCCTAAAGTACCTCGGAAGCTTCTGTTACCCTAAATGGACTCTTGAGGCTTTTGTCCTCTCTAACGCCGAAAGGTTTTCACTTTAGCAGAAATTATTGCATTTTATTCGACGAAATCAATCTACAATTCAGTATAACGAGAAATTGTTCTTGTGGTTGTGTTAGGTACTCTGGAGTTTGGTTGGTGACAAGATGCAACTCTCTTACGGAGAATAGATACAACGTTGGTGATTGGGTTCTCTGTCTCATCGTTCTCGTCCTTATGGGCATTACCTGTCGTTTCATAGCTTTCTCTTGCTTGGTTACCTCCAAGAACAAGTAAGAATCACATGGAGTCTACTCTACCAGGGTTGGTATTTTCGGTTCAATTATTTTCACATTCGATTTTGTAAGAAAGTTTATATATATATATATATATATATATATATATATTAGATTAGGTTTATTTTCATATTCGGTTTTTTTTTTTTTAAGAAAAATTATTATCTATAGTTCTTGCTCTCAGTTCTTAAACTAGAAGTTGAAGAGATCAAAATCCTTTTTTAGATATCGTATCATATGTGTATGAAATTATAGAATTTCTCAATGCTATTTCCTCTCTTTTTTTTTCACATTTTCTCAAAGTTGTTTCCTTTCCATAAATGGTAGATTAAAAGCCCACTTTACAATAATTTAAAAAAAATAAAAGCAATATACAAACATGTAAATGAAAATAAAGAGAATTTTTCGAATGTGAAAAATGAGTTAAAATATCGTGTTCGTGCTTCACTCATCCGATTTTGAACTCCGCTTGAACTATCTCTCTCGCCCATACGTGTGCTATAGGGATGTACTCATCAGATTCAGTCAACTTATTATTTTTTGATGTATTCTTTTAATATTTTAGAATTTTGTTTTACTTTTTTATTATAAATTGTTTTATCTAATTTATTATTTATATTTTTTAATTCATCTTGTTTTTTAATACTTCTAGTCTTTCATACCTTTTTAATAATTTATTTATTTCAATAATAGAGTTGTGTTCAAATATTTTAACTAATTTCTATAATTAATTTTTATATTTATTTTAATTTCTTCTTTATTTCTTCATATTTTTTGGAGGTTCAGGTGAATAATCCTATAATAGATCATTTCAACATTATTATTTAGTGTGAATTTTATTTTATTTTAGTTTATCTATAAATGATTAATATCATTTTTAAAGACGATATTAATATAAACACAAATATGGAGAACGATATTAGAAGATATAGTTAGATCAAAGGTACGGTGAATTTTCAGATTATAAAAAAATAGATTTGTTTATAAAGATTTTGTGGTATAATTATTACTCTTTTTTATAAAAAATTTATGGACAACAATTATTTTCATTTGCTAAAATTAACTGTAATGTAATCCTTTAGTATAATCAATTTTTTTCACTATTCCTAGTTAATCATTTTTTATACCAAGTTAAAATCAAATAAATACTTATATTATTGATCCTACAAATCACAATCTCAGATGTCACACATAACAATGATATTTTTATTATTTTATCAAAATAAATGCTTTTTAGAAATTTTAGATATATTTAAGGTATAATTAAAGTCTTTTAATATTTTTTAGTATTATATTTTTTTAAAAAATAGGTCGAACCAGTAAACTTCTTAGTTATAAAAAAATAAGAATTGTGAGTGTAGTAGTTTTACTAATCCGTCCTTTAATTATTTAAGAGAAATTATAATTTCCATTATTTTTCTATTTGCCTGCGAGGGAAAAAATAAAAATAAAAATAAAAAACAAAACAAAATTACACATAAAGTGGTCGAGACAAAACGTTAGGAAATGGCGTCAATATGAAATCGACGTTTCGAAACGCACATTTCTCCGTCTCTCGTTTGATAAACCCTAACCCCTGCATCTCCTCTCCGATTCCCCGCGTTATCCCTCTCTTCTCCGGCGGCATTCACCAGAGTTCCATTATCCGCCGGCGGGACCCATCGTTACCTTCCTTATCCACCGCGTTCTGCTCTTCGTCGTCCTCTATTCCGATGGCGGGAGGTGAAGGTCAGGTACCACCGCGGTCTTCTCCTTCTCTGGAAAAGCAGTTCGAGGAGTTCAGGGTTCAACTGGAAGGATCTGCGAGCTTGCGAGAGAGGATTCGAGCTGTGGTTATGGAGATTGAGTCCGCGACAAGGCTCATTCAGGCTAACTTGCTCCTCGTTCACCAATTGCGACCCGTTTCTGGTAAAGAGCAGTTTTTTTGTCCGAAGGGACTTTGAATTCGAAGTTTGTTGTGTATCGTTCGCTGATATGCAGCGCTTAGCCTCGCGTTGGAACAAAATAGGTTAAAGGATGTTTCGTTCTTTCCATTTACTGTGAGAGAAATGGTACGATAATAAACTTGATGTTTCTTCTTTCTGGTGGACTTATCAGTAATAGAGTTCTGTTCGAAGAGGGAGCAACTGAACTCGAAAATAACTATCTTACTTAGTTAAGGAAAGAAGGATTATCCACAAGTGTAGTACCTGTGTGCTCTGATGAATTACATTATAGTGTGTGATAGTGTCTAACGAAAACACCGAACGTGTCTGCTGGATCAGAGGTTCTCGAGAAAGCTAAAGAAAAAATCGGTGCTTTGAAGGATCTTTACAGTCAGCTTTCTGAAGTTCTCCGAGATTGCTCTGGACAGTACTACAGGTAGCTTTGGTATAATCAGACAGGTTTTTAGGGTGTGTTTTCTCGTGCAAGTCTGTTTGGATTTAGTGGTATGAAGTTAGGTTTTTTGTTTTGTTTTAGGTACCATGGTGACTGGAGAAGTGAAACACAGACAGTGGTCTCACAGCTTGCTTTTATGCACTGGTTAGAAACTGGCACTCTTCTTGCGCACATAGAAGCTGAAGAGAAACTTGGGTGTAAGTCACTCTGTCTCTCGGTTTATTGTCGTCCTGCTTCGAAAGAAATTATCACCGACGTGTTTAGCTGTTTAGTTTAGTCTGATTTTCTTCTTCATTGGATCTGTAAGAAGCTTTTGTTCGGTAAGTCATCGCAACGGTTCGGCCTTGTTCCAAATCCAGTCATGTGTTCTCTTTTATGTTGAAGATGGTTGATTGGTTTGGTTTCCTTGTATCGTAATGGAACGAAAAAGTTGCTCTGAGCGTTGGTTAATCTCAATATATCTGGCCTAACTTGTCTCTCTCATGTTACTTTTCTTTATCGGTTAAACCAGGCAGAGAACATCTTGGTCAAATCATTTATCTTTCTGTCTTCTAACTTTCCTTTGATGTTTTCCAGTGAACAGTTCGGAGTTTGGTTTGGACACTGAAGATTATCTGGTTGGTAAGTGTTCTGGGAAAATGACTTCTATGGATGGTCTCGATCTGGATCAATAAGTTTATCGCACATTTTCTTCACGTTAATGCTTTATAATGGCTGCATGATCGGATACTTGTCTGATTTTATTTCCAAACAAACTGAATTAACATCCTTAAGAATGGGTTGAATCGATGTAAATCTTAAGATGCAAAATTTGAAGTCAGGGTATTATATTTTACAAATCAATTGTTACTTCTTTAGTTCTTTTTACTGATCATGACTCTGTTAATACTTTGCAGGAGTTTGTTTCATGTCAAATGATATGGTAAGATCTATTTTGTTTTTTTTTTTTAATTCCAGGGCATTCGAACGATACTTCCATCCTAAATTTGGATTAGAGCATTCGAAACAACTAACCAATAATTTGAAAAGCAAGGACCTTCGTGCAGTGTTTCATGACAAAATAAACGCGAGCTATCTGGTTTTTTTTGGCAGCCTAGGTACGTGGTTAACCGGGTGACGGCAGGGGACTATGATTGCCCGAGAAAGGTGTTGAATTTCTTGACAGATCTTCATGCAGCTTTCCGAATGCTGAATCTCCGCAACGATTTCCTCCGCAAGAAATTTGACAGTAAGGCCGACCCTACTCCATATCACAATCTTATCATACCCTCTTCCTCAAATGCGGATACCGGTTCAAGAATTGTGAGGGGAAAAAACCAAAACACTCCTTGTCATGTGACAGGTATGAAGTATGACCTAAGGAGGGTTGAAGAAGTTTACTATGATGTCAAGATCCGAGGTTTGGCTCCACACGGTGAATCAGATGGAACCCAAGGAACTCAAGGCTAATGTTATGTTTTGTCATGGAAAAACGGCAAGGAAAGCTTTTGTAGAAACTGAGCACAATGACCAGTTGAAGTCGGATTAATTCGAACGTCAGGGTCTTCATTTCTACAAAATGTAAACGGCGGGCTTTTTTGGGCCGAAGCCCATTTTCTAGCATTGGTTTGATGGCGTTATGACGCCGTCAAGAGAATTGCAAGTTTTCCGTTTCCATTTCATCGGCTCAGTTGCTGCACCTGTTCATGTACGCCATGGTCGCGGACTCAAAACGCACATATTATGTTATCAGGTATTTGGAATCCGACAATACTTCTCTTATGCTCTTCTCGTGTCCCGAAGAAATAAAAAATTAGAATCACAACGATTAACGCAAAAATATAGATCAATTGTAATATCAGGGGTGAATATAAAAAATAAGAGATTTATCTCTAAAACTGAGAATACGGAAAAATTAGTAAAAATAAATTCTATAATTTATCAGAAGAAAAATTACAAAAATACATTATTTACCATAGAGTAATGAAATTAAAATTAACTTTTTTTTTATATATTTTTTTAATTGAAAGACTCTTTTATACTAATAACAAAAACTAAAATTAACTTTGTTTGAATTTTTTTGATTGAATTACTCTTACATACTAATAATACAAATTAAAATTAACTTTGCTTATAAATTATTTGATTGAAATAATTTATATCTTAATTTGTTTAAGTTTTTCTAAAATATATATTGATTACAAATTATTTCTTTTATTTTATAATGAAAATTTATCTTTTCATCCAAAATCTTAAAAATGATCAAATTTTAAGAATATTTTTTCATATAAAAAAGTGGGACCCTTTGACATGACACCACTTGCACACTCAGTAGTATGTATATAAATATTCAAGGATCACGTACCCTTTTCCATGTTAGATAAGAAATTTAGGCCCGAGAGGAATCGACTCGGTCCAATTGCAATATGTTGCTATAAACATATACAAGTATACATATATATATATACACATATATATGACCATAAGACCAAAGTCTTGTTAGACAACAAATACACATACATGTAACATATATGAACATGAGTTTGATTATTTGTCCATTTTATTTATTCACAATAACAACATAACACATACATATGTGGACATAAGTTTGATTATTTGTCCATTTTATTTATTTACAATAACACCATAACACATACATATATGAACATAACTTTGAGTATTTGTCCATTTTATTTATTTACAATAACACCACAACCCGCAGAAAAAACTCAACACACTTCTGAGAAAGCTCTTAAAAGTTTATATACAAACACAACACATCCAACGGCTCAGGAAACCATCTTTCTTTTAACTGTAGAGATCGTCATCGTCGTCAGCTCCTCCTGCCGAAGCGGCGAATGGGTCGGCCCCACCAGCTGCCGTGCCACCCGAGCCAGCTGTTTCCGTGAACCTGAACTCTGTCCCGATCCCCCGAGATTGCTGCAGCGTCTGAGCGAAGGTCTGGTACTTGCGTATATCTGCATCGCTCACCGACCTCCTCGCGAATTTCATGGATTCCTCAAAGTGAGCGGCTTTTATCTCCGCTACTTCGTCCTCCACATCCTCCTCCATCGCTTCCGGGTTGTCCCGTCTCCTCCTCTCCCTCTCGATATCCTGAGAAAAAGCGATCACCATAACAGGGGTGGGCATCGGTTACGACTAATTCGCATTCGATTATTTGGAGTTTTGAAATTTAATAACCAAACGTTATCTAATTTTAATCGATTTGATTCGGTTCACTTTTTAAATATCCAACCCATTTGTCCACCCCTAATTATTCGTACTTTCGTTAATCCAAATCAAGGGGGAAAGAAAGAGATGGCAAGGAGAACGACGTTGAGGTCTGGTACACTGGAAAATTCGAGTACCCGACCTGCGCCCGTTCTCAGATCATGCGTAGGGAATCAATCATACAAGAATGAATGAATGAATTACTTGTGGGTCAGGGTTTAGTTTATATACCTTCTCGATGTTCTCTCGTATGGCGTATTTGCAAGCGCGCTGGCAAATCTCGGTGATGTCCGCCCCGCTGAAGCCTTGAGTGTATCTCGCGAGAGCCCTCAGGTCGACATCCTTGGCGACTGGCGATTTCCTCAGGCACGCCTTGAAGATTTGGTGACGGGATTCCTCGTCGGGAAGAGGGATATAGATGAGTTGGTCGAGACGACCAGGACGGAGAAGCGCAGGGTCGATGATGTCTGGTCTGTTTGTTGCTCCGATGGTGAACACCGTCTTTTTGGCAGACATACCGTCCATCTCGGTAAGAAGCTGGTTCAAAACCCTATCCGCTGCGCCACCCGCATCTCCCACACTGCTTCCTCTCTGTGACACGACAAAGGAGAGTACACATGATGCAACAGAATTCTCGAAAAGAGCGAAACCGAGAGCAAACAACTGATGAGCTTTACCTGAGTGGCAATAGAGTCGAGCTCATCGAAGAAAAGAACGCAAGGAGCTGATTGACGGGCCTTATCGAAAATCTCTCGGACATTGGCCTCGCTCTCTCCGAACCACATGGTGAGAAGTTCAGGACCCTTAACACTGATGAAATTTGCTTGGCACTCGTTCGCAATAGCTTTGGCCAAGAGGGTTTTCCCGCAACCTGGTGGACCGTAGAAAAGGACACCTTTAGACGGCGACATCCCGAACTTCTCGAATTTCTCAGGGTGCTCGACGGGATATTGTACAGTCTACACGAATACACAACATAGATTAGAACCACATGTTAGGGAAAATATCAGACTGCGATATCAACGAGTCGAAAATCTCGAGTTTACCTCTTGGAGCTCCCTTTTGATGTTCTCAAGACCACCAATGTCTTCCCAAGAAACATTAGGCACCTCGACAACCTGATTAATGGAGAAGAATAAAGGGTATAAACCAACGATTGCTGGGGAAAAAAGATCAGTATCGGGTAGATCTCGTAAACTCACTCACCGTCTCACGAAGAGCAGAAGGATTGCTGTTACCGAGAGCGGTCTGGAAATGCTCGTTCGTCACAGCCATGGAATTGAGAATTTCGGCATCTATCTCCTCGTCTTCGAGATCGATTACGTCCATCTTCTCCCTGATACATTGGAGGGCAGCTTCAGTGCATAATGCTGCAAGATCAGCACCGACATAGCCATGGGTGTCTTTAGCTATCCTTTCCAAATCCACCTGAATAACATAGAACCCCATGAGCAAAAAATTGCGGAAATAAATAAAAAAACAGCGTTATACAAGAAAAGATTACATCTTCAGCGAGCTTCATGTTCTTGGTGTGGATCCTGAGAACCTCGAGGCGTCCGACTTCATCAGGAACACCGATATCGATTTCTCTGTCGAACCGTCCGAATCTTCTAAGAGCTGGATCAATGCTGTTTGGACGGTTAGTTGCTCCGATAACAATCACATGGGATCGAGCTTTGAGTCCATCCATAAGCGTCAAGAGCTGGGAAACGATCCTCCTCTCGACTTCTCCGTGCGTTTTCTCTCTTTTGGGAGCGATTGAATCGAGCTCATCAATGAAGATGATCGATGGAGCGTTCTTCTCGGCTTCCTCAAAGGCTTTCCTTAGGTTGCTCTCACTCTCGCCAGCCAACTTGGACATGATCTCGGGACCATTGATACAGAAGAAAAACGCACCGGTTTCATTAGCCACGGCTCGGGCAATCAAAGTCTTTCCTGAACCGGGTGGCCCGTAAAGCAAAATCCCCTTCGGTGGCTTCACACCGATAGACTTGAAGAGCTGCGGATGCCTCAGTGGTAGCTCGACGAGTTCCCGAATCTGGGCCATTTGTTTCCTGACACCACCCACATCATCATATCCAACTTCATCCAATCTATCTTCATCTTCTCTCTTTATAGGCTCACCCTCGCAGAAAATTTCTGTATCCGGAGCTACCACACAGTACTCGGGAGGATCGGTCTCAATAACCTTAAACTCGACACTTCTCATGCCTCCACGGACTAGGAAGAGGTCACCCTTCCTCACTGGACGGTATGCCTCCAAGAAATACGCTGCATGGTATCACATCATCAACAAAGATTATTACAGCGTGCCACCACAAATTCGGCTTTCAGACAGGTTTACGTCCGATATCATTTAAGGAAACAATGTGAAATATTTCAAACAGAGTAAGACAAGACAAAAGATGAAACTCACGTTTCAGGTATGCATCAAAGAGATTCCCGGTAACACCTTCAATGGTATCGTCTATGGGCAAAATATGAACACGTTTCCCATACTTGACATCAGGGCACTGATGAACAGAAATAACATCGCCAAGCCTAACCCTCAAATTCGACCTCACCACTTTGTTCATCCTTATTTTCGGCTCTTCGCATGTATCGTCAGCCAAGGCGATACAAACTGTATCCTTCCTCTTCTTTCCCTGCAATTCAACACCCCAAATAAGAAAGCAAAGATGTCAAAACAGGTTATACACACTGGAATAGAAAACCCTAAAAGTCCTTTTGGTAACCTAACGGCACCAAAAGAGTTCAAGAACGAAACCTTAATCAAGACAGTATCCCCACGAAACAGCTGCAGCTTCTCCATGGTCTCTGGGTGAAGAGACACGACAGAATTATCATCGCTGATCGCCTCGTCCACCACCAAACGATTCGGCGCTTTCTTTCGCTCCAAAATCGCAGTGCTAAAATCCCTCTTCGTCCCCTTCCTTCATTATTCAACAAAAAAAAAAACCCCAGAAACAAACACAAGATAAGATCGAATTCGAAGAACCCATCAAGTAAAAAAAGATGAAGAAGCAGCAGCTACTACTGAATCCAGAAGGACTTACGAATCTGATGATTCAGCTTGATTCGCCATGGTCGTTGTCCTCTTCCACTAAGAGAAGAAATATATCAGGGATTAACTACAAAATGCCTCGGTTTCGTACACACGCGGAGACAAATCCTTTTCTTGTCTGAAAGGAAATGTTTTATAAATTATTATATCTGCACACAAATTAGTTATTTATCATCCCTGACCTTCAATTAATCCATCTATTTTTTTTCTTTAACTCAATTCTAAAAATAAAATTTAAGGAAATGATAGAAATAATTATTTTTCATTTCTATTTTGAAAATAAATTTTGAGAAAGATATATGTGAATTAATCTTTAATTGAGATATTATAGAAATTAAGTTTTCAATTCATAATATGTAAAAGGATTCTTTGAGGATTATTAATCATGGATTTTTCACGTTCTAATATTTAAATAGTTTCAAATAATAAATTATGATAAGCTTGCAGAAAATATATTTATAATTTTTTATCTCATTTTTTATAATTGAACCATTATTCTAACGAGTCGTCTGATCTGTACCGATTTTGAATCTAAACTCAAATTCTATAGGACCGGGTTTCACATTTAGTTTTATAGATTTGAAAAATTTTGGATGTCTCAAACCCGAACTCAAACTTTCGGATCGATTGCGGTTTCGGATCGGATCGGCTCGGGTCCACTCGTTTAACACCCCCAACGAGGCCCCAACTTTTGTTACATGACAACTACAAAAATGTCTTTCTAAATTTTTACCAATGAATCAAAAAACTTTATTTTAGTTAACGCAAATAAAAGCACACATTCCATTCTTATACCCCTTGGTACATCAGAAATCGCTCGAACAATAACGGCCCCACAATTGACGAAAGACGCTATGAAGTTTTAAATGTTTATCCGGAAACGGCACACACTGCAACAAAGCCACCTCGTTAAAGAGTTGGGCCGACTTAAGGCCCATTTTACATAACATATTGGATTCTAGAGAGGCCCAGTTCATAGGGGTACCATAGCCTTGAAGGTCAAGGTTCAAATTTCAAATTCCTCTCGGAAGACGGAACTTAATCCTCTCGACATTGTTCCTCAACTCAAGAGATGATTCTCCCCTCATCAACCCTATGATCTTCGCCGAAACCTCATCCCTCGTGATCGGCTCGTCATCACAGAGGTTAACGATCCCGATCCGGCCGATCGTCTATAATCAGTTTCCTATTCGCGAATTGATCTGGTAGAAGCGGGTAACACACCAATAGCACACCACTAAATCTCGCTATAATCACACCCCTCTCCCCATCTCGGCTCTTCCCTCTGGTTCGGATATCCACGATTCATGGGTAATTGGACAACAAATGGGAGTGCCAGACTAGTCACGACTCACGCGCTGCCTTGTGATCAGCTCATTTTCAAGCAATCTGGGCCCAGGTTTAACGGGCTCGCGAGCCAACCCATCAAGAGCCACGGTTCGATCGAGCACTTGCGATTCAAAAAAATGATTGTACTGGATTTCGACCTCGATCCGTCACCGATTCCACTCCGAATCACTCGTTCGTGCAAGATCGAGAAGAGAACGACGCAGAGGATATACGAGTTCAGTAACCGAGATAAATTTCGGTGCCTACATCTCGGGAAGAGGAAGCCGCATCCGTAGCTAGGGCTTACAAACGGAGTTTCCGGCAGAAACTGCCGAACGGCGGTCCCGAACAGGGAGAAGTGAGATCGCCTCGCCGAAAGAAGAAAGATAACGAAACCGGAAAAGTTACAGACTGGACCACAAAACCCACGAGGGAAGAAACCCTAATCGGGTTTCATTAAACGCGCGAATGACGGAATTGCCTGTCTGTCCTTTTGAGATCCTCTGCTTCACCTAGAGTCTTCGGAAACCTCTGGCCGAATAGCGGGTTTCGCTGAGACCCTCCAAAATGATTCTCTTTTAAATTTTTATTATTTTAAATATGTATTATTATTTTCTAATTATCTCGCAAGCCTTAGTCGGGTCGAGTTTTTTTTATGGATTATCAAAAGAACTAGCTCATGTCGATTCACGTCGAAACCTAAACGGGCGAAGTGGTTCGTTCGATACTCTAATCCAAAGTAACTGAAATTCAATTTTTTTAAATTAAAATTTTATTAATAAATAATTAATACAAAACCAATTGAATCAAATTTAATATAAAAGTAAATTAATGGAAGAATGCGAAAACCCAAACCGTTTCTCTTCATGTATATCAATGTTATATATTGATTTCGAATCTCGATCATTTCGTAATGTAAACAACGATAATGATTGTTTATAATAGTCATATAAAAAAAATGGTCGAAGGTGGTGGAAAAATTTATAATAATAATATTAATAAAGCTCGAAAGTGTGGTTTCCACGTCGATGATTTAGTTAATTAAATTAAACAATCACGTTTATTACATGTACTAACCGAAAGGTAAGAGTATCATTAATGGTTCGTTACAAACTTTAACATGCCTATTTCTTCGGCGACCTAGTTTTGTGTGCATTCACATGCATATATTAATATAATATATATTTAGTGTCGAACATTTCGGACTGTTAAAAAATCTATAGTTGTATCTTTAAGAAAATCTTATAATAATACACAAATTTATATTAAAGTCTCAGATTAATTCAAGAATTATAACATTTTCAGAATTCCGACGGTACCACGTCGTCGCTTCGAGTTGCAAACTTAACGTTTGATATGGAAGTCTGTGACACATTCGGGAAATGTTGTAAGTTAAGGTTTAATCATGTTTTTTAATAACTTCAAGGTTTTTTATGGGATAAACCCAAAATAAAAAAAAAATATGAAGCCCTAAATCACAAATTTATTTTAACGGATTCTTAAAAAAAAAAATCTAACGCAGTCAACTGGGTGGGAGTTAGTGGATTTTTTAAAAAAAATTAGTGTATTATTATAAATCCAGAGTTAGTGTATTATTTTGAAACTTTTATAGTTTGTGCATTAATCTGGTATTTTTATATAAGTTTGTGTATACATATGAGAAGTTTTTATTTTAAAATAATTGGATTTAATTTAGAATTGAATTAGTGGAATAAACATAAATTAATTTTTTTAGAAAATTAGTATTTTTTTAAATAAAACTATGAACGTGAATAAAACCCAAACCAACGTAAAAACGAAATATTTGTTTTCTGTACACACAAATATATGCACGTTTGTATATGACCGCGAGAATCCGATTCCAAACAAGTGGAATAGAAAGATGACTTTAGCGTTGTCAAAAGAAAAAGGCAACGGATCACTAATGTTTCCTATTACTCAAGAAAAAGCAAAGAAACACAAAAGAATCTTGCACGACATCTTTCTCCAAACACTGAAAAGTATAATCAAAGAATACTCTGTTTATAAACATCTAAATTCGACCCAAAATCAAGATCGAGCAGTTCTGATCTGGGTTTCGATCAAATTTCCCAAAGGAGAAAACTTTCCCGCAAAAAACAAATCCAAAGATTTGGAGTTTCCGAAGCATCGGTTCATCTCTGGAGATGAATAGTTCAAGTTCAAGTTCAAGGGCAGAATCAATGAAGCCCGTGATTCTGAAAACCGGTGTGGCTTTGATTGTGTCAGCGACTGGCCTGATTCTCGCCAGGTTCATGACGAGGAGAGAGGATGAACAGGTAATAACTTCTTCTGCAAGTAATCCAGAATCTTCTTTAGCTTGCAGAGAAGAAGATGGAGAAGAAACAGGGTTGATGGAAGATTCCCAAACCCGAGAGGAGAATGACTATGAGCAGGAGATTCTCAGCTTGAAAACCCGTTTCGAGCAGATTCAGAAGAAGGAAAATGAGATGGAGATGAGTTTTCAGAATTACTGTAACTCAAAAGACAGAGAAATCATGCTTGTGGAGCTTAAGGGAATGCTGGTTTTGGAGAGAGCTCGTCTCGAATTCTTCGGCAGAGAAGTTTCAGCAATGGAGGAGGAGAACAAGAGGATTCAAGGTATGGCGATTGTGTATCTGAAACTCGTGGAGAAGATACAATGCCTAAGATCAGAACAGGGTTTGCTCCGGAGCAAGGCAAAGAACCTCACGAGAAGAGCAAAGGATCTTTCGTGCATCGTAAAAGAGAAGAACGCAAGGATGAGGGGTGTAGAGCGGATGCTGTTGAAGAGTCTTGAAGAATTGGAGATGAAGAACAAGTCTGCAATCAAAATGGAAGCTGAAATCAAAGAGCTGGAAGCCACTATCCGTAGATTGGAGGAGGAGAAGAAGGGCTTACAGAGTACATCATCTGACCCCATACCAGAAGTGAGTTTGAAAAATGTGAATGATGGTTGTGATATTTTTAAAAACCGAATATAAAAATAATCCAAAAAATCAAAAAAAAATTATTTAGAAAATGAGCTTTTTTATTATTGAAAACCAAATTCGAAAGCCATCCCTGTTTAATGATGGGGTGATTGTTTCCTTCTCTATAGATACTATATGAAAAGACGAGAAACACACTGGAAGATTACAAAAGATTGTTAGAGGAACACGAGAATCTGAAGAGGGAGCGTGCGGACGAAGCGAAGGATATGATTAACCTGAAATGGAGCAATGTGTGTCTAAGGCACGCGTTGATGAGGTACCGAGAGGGGGACGACCAAGAGAACGATGTCTCTTTCGAGGGGGACGATAATTTCCACCGTCACATGAGTCTGGAGGATCAAATGGCGTTGGAAGCGGCCGAGGAAGAACGTCATCACGAGCATGAAGAGCGTGGTAAACACGAAACCTCGAGAAGGAAAAGGCTGATGAAGAGGCTGAAGAGATGGGTCGAAGGGGGTGAGAAAGGCAAAGCTAAGTCCGAGGAAAGATGCTTCGGGATGCATTCTCCTCTCGTGGCCGAACCCGAAGAAGGGAAATCTGTTGTTCTTGCAAGAAGGTCCTGTTCAAGCGCGTAGACACGTTTCTATTTGTATGTGTGCAATGATAAAGCCCGAATGGAGCTTTAGAGGTTTCTCTGTTTTCATACACAAATTGTCAACACGTGTAATTTATAGAGACTACTAATACTCAGCTCCAAATTTTATTATGGCAGATATTATATACTTCTCAACTTTTATTTTGTTTGATTGAGAGTTTCTCCCGTATTTTGTTCTGAATCGTGACAATTTTATGACATTTTCAATTTCAATGTGAAATATAATTTGAAAAAAAAAATATTGTTATGGAATTTGAAAAAAGTTTTAAAAATGTAATAAATTTAAAGAAACCTATAAAAAAAAAATCATAAACGCCAAAATTTCCAAATAAATACATAAATTATTTCAAACTTCCAAATAAATACATCCCTACTAATCACATACAAAACGCAAATCCATACGTTTACGTGTATTATTACGTATGAAAATATACACATCCTGCACTAGAAACAAAAAATTCTCAAAGAAAAAAAAAAAGAGAACACATGAAGATAATACGACCACTGTCCAAATGTTTCCTTTTTTTTTTTTTTGTCATCATAAGATATTTCAAGAATGATGTTTTACTATGGTTCTTGTTATACATCAAATACCAACGAATCCTAAATGTACAACAAGCAACTCATTCTCTAACCAAAACTATCTACAGTTAAGCATCTGCTCTTCAAGAACAAGAACAAGAACAAGATCAAGATCAAGATCAAGAACGGGATGAGGATCAAGAGGAAGAAGAAATGTGGCAAAAGAATAAGGGACTTAAGCAGATGGCCTAGAATGCAATTAAGATCAGCCAAGCAGACAAACTGAACACGGTGAGGAAAACCCGAAGAAAAAAAAAAGAGTGTGGATTACAGATTACAATACAGAGAAGAGCGGCCGAAGAAGTAGAGATACGAGGATGCTCGTGATCAGCTTCGAGACGATGTCTCTTGTTGAGATGCTCAGACTTGGCTGCCCTGAATTCACAGTTTCCTTTCCTGAAGTTACAGAAACATTCACAGACAACGAACCTGCAAGAATGGGAAGACATGGTTTAAGGTTTCATTGTGTGAAGGAGTGTTAGAGTGGTTACTGGACTAAATAGTAAATATCAAAACTCCTGATTCAGCTATTGTTGTATTGTTTAAAATACCACCAAATTCGGGTATACTCATACCAAGACAAACGGTTACAAGAACAACAACAACACTTTAATCCCAAAATTTATTTGGGATTGGACGTATGAATTCTTTTCTTCCACTTATTTTGGTTTTGGGTTAAGTCCTCCGAAATTTGTAAACCCTTCAAATAATTACTAATCATTTGTTACCAAGTGACAAGAGTTATACATATCATTTGTTAATATGCATGGTTACCCGCAAATATCCATCATTAATTTTTACCCGTACCCGTACCCATTGGATGGGTGGTTAAAAAAAATAAGTCAGTGGCATACCCATGAAAGGTCGGGTACCCAATTTTCGGGGATTTATGGCCGTCCCTAATTTGAGGGTCATAAGTATATGTAGTCAGTCGGATGGTACTTACAATCATAGTTTGCCCATCCGATTCTTTGTCGAGCAAGATCATACACAAAGACTTTATCTTTCAGGACAAGGTCTGCAAAAACAAAAGAGCATCAAGATAAGCAGCTTATTATCCCTTCGACGGTAGCGTTTTATTAAGCTTAGTGTCTGACCTCCTAAGATGGTTTGTCCGTCCCGAGCTTTCTGGAAACCAACACACCACATCGATGCACCATCCTGCTAGATACAGAGATGATATGCAGGGAAGAAACAAACAGGCCAAAAAAAACTTTTTCTTTTTGGTTCTACCAATATGGTGGAAGTATGGAGATGAAACAAGCAGAAGAACTTACATAGAAACCAAGGTGTACTAAGTAGTCTTGAGGTCTTAACACCATCGAAGCACCACCGACGAAATTGAGACTAACCGGAGGAAATATGTCACTCACGCTAAAACAAAACACACACGAAAAAAAACGAAAGAAATCTTAAACTTAATCTGGAAATTTGTCTGAACACTTAGGGGGTTACATACAAGGAGCCATACCTAGTAGAGACTAAAAAGCACTGATCTCCATTAGAAATGATCGGTGTTACGAACTGCGACACACTGTTTATTATCTGCAGATACAGTACACAATATCATCAGGAAGTATGTCACCTAAGCTATCTTAAAGTTTTTATTTTGAATGGAAGAGTGTTAAAAAATCCAGGAAAGACTCGGAAACTTACAGAACTGAGAAAAGGGTCATAAGCTTCCTCCACCAGATACGTTAATGTGGTTCCCGTATCAACAATAGTTCCACGGTTATCTGATATTCCAAATGCTTCTGTTCCAACGGGAAGCAACTGTCCATTAATGGCAATGCTCAGCAGGTTTAAGTTATAATGAGGCCTGTAGAATCCAGATTGATAAGGCCATCAAACCCATGAGGAAATTTTTTTTTTTATAATCAATTTTGCAGAAAGATTCATCCAAATCTATAAGAGAAAGGATTCAAAAGAGGTTAATGCACATACTGTGATGGGACGAGAGGGCTGTAAACCATTCCCGGAGCCAATATCTCCCCAAGGACAAATACGCCACCTCCACTACCATCTCCTTTCAAGCAATGAGAGAAAACTGGTGGAGTAATCCCGCGTGACGATAACTGAGAAACAACGGATAATTCTCCTTTTCCAAATCCAAATATCCCATCCACTGCTTTCTCTGACTTTGTCAAGTCCCCCGATTGGTAGTTGCTACAACTGTTCCATATACAGGAAAATAACACCAAGAAAACTTAAGCAGAATATTACAGAAAGAAGGTTTTATACAGTGTTATAGAAGGAAGCCCTCACCCGAAAACAATGAGAGCTGATGAATTAGCAACCAATGACTCTCCCAAAATTGCATCGAAATGGAATGTGTCAGTTAAGTAATAACCCGAAGTCCCACTTCCATCGCCATAATGAAATGTGTAACTGCACTGGTTACTGTCAGAGCATTGAGCAGACGTTGTCTGAAAAGCTGAAGCACAAACTGGATCCGAACAAGTAACTGACCCAGCAGTCAAGGAACTGGGAGCATCAAAGAAATTGAGCTCAATCTGAAACAGAGACAGAAGCTCTTCTCACTTTTCTGGTGTTTAACTCAAATTCGATTAACCAATAAAACTAATCGGGGCTACTTACTCCAAGTCCACTGGAACGAGGGCAATTACTGCAAGAACTACAAGTAACCCACAAGATGTCACTTCCAGTATCAATCTGAACATTGAATTCTTTAGGAGGAGAACCCAGTTTCACCTTAGTGAAGTAAAGCCTACCAAGAAACGACATATGGAGACAGACATGATACATCATCTTTATGAGATTTGCCCAAAAAGCTGACAAAAGGAAAGGGAACTAAAGAAAGCTAAAGATCCAATCACAGCCAGCGAAAAGGAGACCTACACAGTCATCTTCGAGCTGCAACAAAAGAAAAGAAAACGACACAACGGATAAGATCTCTGTATTGACAGCTCGACAGCATATCAATGTCAGAATTATCAGAAAAACACTGATACTCTCGCAATCTGCTTCTTGATCACTAACCTTTCCACAGGAAAAACCAGATTCGAGAACCCTTTGATTCTTTTATCGTCTTCTTAACAGAAACCAAGTCAAGTAGATACACGTATGGAAACCATAGAATCAGCAACATAAAGAGAAGGACTGAACGAAAATATAACTTCTCTCGAAACCCTACGTTTTTCAGTTTAAGCATACAGAATCACGAAATTGGTGCACAAATCTGAACCTCAGGTTCTGAAAGCAAGACGAGATAGTCACACCTTGAAGCCAAAACCATGAACAGGAACTCACTCAAAACTAGAAAAAGAAACCAAAGAGGAACCCAAGTGATGAAATTACCCGACAAGATCATCGGAGGAACCCTGAACGGGAAAGTCCACAACACCGCCGACGGAGCTCCGGCCTTCGCCGCCGCCGCCGCCGAGCAGGATTCGAGCGTGTCTGACTCGGTCACGAGCCCTGAGTTCACTCAGCTCGACTCGCTCGTCAAGAGGATAAGTCCTCTCCAGAGACAGAATCCTCGCCGGTGCAGCTGAATATCCCGCCAGCGTCGGCGGCGGTGCCATTGCAACTGCCGCCAGGAGCAAAAGTAGACCCCGGCAAACTGGCATTCCGGTGGACTCGTCCAGATTATCGCGGTGCTCACGAGAAAGACAACTACAACGAGCACGACAAATGTTCGGTTCCGCGCATCGGGAAGAGAGCGAAGAGACAGCAAAACCTAAGGAACTGCAGGAGAGAGAGAGAGAGAGAGAGACGTTTTATGATGTTTTCTAGCGGAGAGTGGTGGGTTAATCTATGAACTCTTACAAAATCTTTTATGGCGGAATACCGGTTTCTTCGTAATAATAATAAAAAATGACATTTTCTTGCCCAAATTTAACAAAATATACTATTTTTATATAAAGTATTATTAATTTGACAAAAAACTATATCTAAATTCAAAATTTCTCAAATATCTATACGAATTATTAAAATTAGCATATACATAATCGTTATTTTCGTTAAAATTTTTCGGGTTCTATTAACTAATGCATTAGTTCGATAATTAGTATAACTACTACACACGTCAATATATTAGTTAATAAACTTCTGAAAAATTTAAACGAAAATAATGATTATATATGTAATTACTGTTAATTTTAACAATTCGTATAGATATTTGAAAATTTTTGAATTCAGATATAGTTTTTTTTGTCAAATTAACAATACGTGTATGAAAATGTCACATTTTGTTAAATTCGTATAATAAAATGTCATTTTCTTTGATAATAATGTATTCATCATCATAGCCTAAACTAAAACTTTTCAAGAATGAAAATTTTACTAAAAAAACTGCATAATTGGGCGGATTTAAATAAGGGTAACCAATGGCAATGAAGTGATAAATCAAGAAATTGCTTTATATCCATTTTTAACATTTAATTTTAAATTAAACATCTTTTATTTTTAATTAAAATTCAAAAATTGTTTATATACTATGTATAATTACAGTAATTTCAAATGTTTACATTATTATGTTAAAATTTAGAGCCTATATATTAATTCAGTATTAATTAATTGACATATGTTCATGATATTTTCTGCATTCCAAACTAAAACATTTATGAATTGAGAATTTTTTTTTATAAATAATCATTTTTATAGGAAAAAATTACCACGACACGATAGAAAGAGACGTAGAAGCTGCAAAAGTATTTTAAAAAAACTAGGCAAAAATGGGCAAATTTAAATAAATGTAAATAATGGCCATAAGGCTATAAAGCAGCCAATTGCTTTATTTCCATTTTTTTTCCTCCACAACTTATACTTTAGCAAAAGAAATATAATTTATACATACGTCAAAGATCTTTTTCTTTTTGGTAATTACGTCAAATATCTTCTTGTTGAGAAACAAAACGTACATAGTTTTCTCATGAGTCATAACCATCATCAAATGTATAGGTTTTGTTTGATATTATTTTCCATAAAAGAAATCTTTATCCGGATATTGGTATTTTTATTATCCTTATATAATTCCAGTAGGAATTGTTTTTAATAAAAATTGAATTACCTTCAAACAAAAAAAGGGTAGAAATTGAGAAGACACGTGTCTATTGTCTTTCCTAGTTGGGCACGCCCACCTTTGTTGACTCCTCAAAATTCGATCTTTATCCAAATATGACGTAAATATAAATCTAAATTACGTATTGGCTTGGAGTTTGATCTGTATCTCTTTTACTGAACCGTATGGAGAAAATATTATATAACTAGATTAAGATAATATCAGCAAATTAGAGGTCATTTCATAAAAGTTTTTTTATATTATTGTAAATAATATTACTAATAATTTTATTGATATTGATCCAATGGTGCGCTTGCCAACTTTTTATCATATTTTATGAAATATGTAAAGGCAAAAACATATGAATCAGCGGTTTCGGAGTCGTACCGTCCAATGGCTTATTTGGCTCTGTGGTTATGGGTCTTCATTTTTTCCGGGAGGTGTTTAAGAAAGACAACCCTCCGCCGGAAATAAGATGCGAATCTCTGGCGTGCTTGCCCCTGTTTCGATGGAATCTCGCAGCAACAGTGACACAAATGCAGTCCTCGGTTGTCGTCGGAACAAAGCACGGGGGGAGGGAGGAGGTTCTCTAGTGAGCCCGAATCAAATCGATCACGTGAAGAAACAGGAATCATGCTCAGTCGGATTGAACCTGGGCGATGCTCGTGGAGAAGAACTTCGGCAGTAGATCGCTGGTTCACGGTGTGATAAAGGCCAGTGGCTTCTCTGCTGGAGGAGATGACACGCGACGATGGGCGGTGGATCAGATGGCAGTCAGTGGAGAATGGGTGGGTGTTTTTCGCCTGTGAAGGTTCGCCATCGCTATTTATGTCGTCTCCTACGTTCACTAGGCCTCCGCCTGCGAAGAAAGGGCCAGCCCATGGCCTAAGTGTTTAGGAATCCTTTATGGGCTTCTCTGAGTTAAATGCCCGTAGGAGGAAGAGGCGCGATGAAGAGATAATGAAAATGAAACCCTGTGAAAGAGTGTAAAGAGAGAATCATTCGATTCTATCATGTGTGTATACATACATATATATATATATATATATGTATATAGAAAAACTTGAATATATATATAACAAGAAGCGTCTAAAAACATAACTATATATATATCTATATCTATATATATAATGGAAGACCAAGAAGAGCAAAACTCACTCAGTCATGACCAACAATTATACAAATGCAATCAGTATAAATTTAGCAAAACAACATCATACTAGAGTAAAAAACAAATCTTTTTAAGATTCTGATGCTTGTGAGTTACTTCTTTCCGTATGAACTCAAACAACTAAAAGCTCACATAGACATCAGCTTTAGACCATTATCAGGCATTCCCATTCCTGCGGCTAATTCTGCGTCAAGTTGTGTGTGAGGTGCCGGCCCCGACAATAGCTTAACACTGCCATTCACACGAAACAAAAACATCGAGCAGTCAGACATTAGAAAAACGGGGTGTTCAACTTTGCAAGAACCCGGGAATCATACTCAAATCATAATCTAGGAATTATCATCTTTTCGGAGCTCAGTGTATATATATCTATAACACAGAAAACATGACTATAAAGAGGTGTTATAATGCAAGTAAATAGCTTTTCAGGTTGGCTAATAAATAAGAGAAATAGCTTGAGAAATTGCACCTTGAACGAGTGCAATGCCTACCTACTTGCTAATAAAGGCAAGAACGATGAATATCTTTGCTCATACAAAGTTTCAAACCTAGAATACAATGTCCTCAATCTTGCTAATCAAGGTTAATCAATTCATCGGCACTATTTAAAGTGTAATCAGGATCTTCGATGATTAAGAACTAGCTTAGGGTCTTGCCCAAAAGGTTCCCTAACAAGGATCTCAACTTATCACTGTTTCGGATCTCGGGATGGATACACACATAACTTAACTTGCTAATCATGTTTAATCAATTGATCAGAACTATCAGAAGCGTCAGGAAGGGTCTTCAGTGATTTAAAACTAGCTTAGGATCTTGCCCAAAAGCTTCCCTAACAACGATTAAACAGAGGAAGAATTTACTAACCGCTTCTTGTGTTTCTTTGTCTTGAAATGCTCATCCCTCACTGATACATTGGAGAAGTAACGACTGAACAGTGAACACGCCCAAAGTGAATAAACACGACAGTGATTCAATCAGACAAAAACACATACAAAACCAAACAAATCAATTAAGTTTTTCACCGTCTAAATCAAAGTTCAGATAAACGGGTATATAAATGCACACCCATATACCCCTATATACATATATACACCTACTCTTCACTGTTCAACAAGGATTTTGAGAATGTAAAGCATCGAACACCAGAGATGATTACGTCAGGGTGAAGTAAAAATGAAATATAATATCTTACTCGCAGTGTAAGCAGTAGTGTTGGCCCATTCCGGGTAAATCCTCGTCAAGCGGCGAAAGCTTCTTCTCCATATCTGGTTTTTGCAACTCCGCGTAAACCAAGTCGTCACGTGGAGGAAATTCTCCGTTAAGGAAACAAACCCAGTTTCAATCAAGCAATAGATTTATCAATCTAGAAGAAGAAAAAAAAAGGAAAACATCGAAACCCGTGAAGATCAAAGGATATCTTTCACGAGGAACTTGTCGCGGCGAGCAGTTTTGTGAGAGAGACGTCTCTTCTTCACCTTCCTGTTCGGGCACTTCCCCATTTGCGTCCTTCTCTGAGATCAAAACCTCGCTTCGCAAGCCGGGCGTGAAATTGAAGAACTAGGGTTTTGAGCTGCAGGGATGAAGAATAAAAGGGGAGGCAAACTTATTGGGCCTGCAATTAATTGTCGTGATATATGGGCCCAATAAAATCGAGAAATTCAGATGACAATAGTTCTGTTCGGATCCGGTTTATACGGTTCACGATGAGAACCGGAAGTTTTTTGGTTATATACGGTTTGGTTCTTGGTTCAGTTCGGAACGATTTCAAGATTTGAGTACCACATTCGATTTTAAACCATTTAAAAACCAAACCATATTAAAAAAAGAGAAAAAAATTATATTGTAAGGATAATCTTCTATACTTATCTAAAATATAGAATATTTTTATAGTGATTTTATGGTTATAACTTATATTCGGTATTTCGGTTTTTTGTTAGAAGTACCCATCAGTTTTCATTAGAAAAACGATCAAGTTTATTAGAAAAACTAAAACCTGAATCAAATATATCCGATCGAAATAACCAATTAAACCGAAGCACCCACTCCCAAGATTTTACTGATGGCCCACAAATTATGGGCCATATTGTATGGACCGAAAAAGAAAAGGGCTATATTGCAATTTCGTGTTTTTTAATTATTTCAGCGACCTTGTTTTTGTTTCTTATATAACCCATCGCTTCCGCTAGGGTTTCCGATTCTAGGGCTTCAGGAAGAGTTAGCCGGGGAAGCAGCAGCCATGGTCCTCAAGTAATTAATCGAATCTATTCTCTCTCTCTCCTCTCGTGTTCTCTGCCTCTCTCTCTCATTGAAATTAGGGATCGATTTCTGCAGTAATTCTCAGTTTGCTATAAAAAATTCGTGCTTTGTCGAAATGGCGATTTCTTTTGTTGATCTTCGTTCTAGTGGATTTTAGTGAATTTCCTTTCGCATTTGGATTTGACCTTATGATCTTCGTTATGAAACTTTTCCTCTGTTGTGATGCCTCTCTTGCGTTTGATGCATTTTCCTTCACGTGAAGTGTTCTGAAAGTTTCTGGGGCCATTTAGGGTAATTATGAACTTTGTTTTCTGCATTTACGTTGTGGGTTTATATTGAAATTGCACGGTTGGGTGATTCATGGTTTTTCTTTTCGTTCTTTGCCTCCTCTTGTGACCATTATGGTTTCTATAAGCATCATATGGACACTCTGGGGAGGCAAAAATTGATAGACCAACTTTCGGTATTCGCGGGCTTTTCGAGGTGGACACTGTTTTCTTCCAAAGTGTTCGCCATGTAACCTATGACATTCCAAAGACAATGATGATTTACGTGCTAATTGGATCACTTAGATGAGATGTCCTGTTTCTCTATGTGTTCCTATTTTGCTGTGTTGGGACTTAGAGTGAAATGCTATTTCTAAGTCATTATCGGCGCGCAGGACGGAGCTTTGCCGTTTCAGTGGTGCCAAGATTTATCCTGGCAGGGGAATCAGATTTATCAGATCTGACTCTCAGGTAAACCATTAGCAGGGCTATGTTTTTTATTAGATTGTTTCATGCCTTTGCGTTTTTTCTGTTATCATCCATTTTGCCTTGCGCTTTTTTATTGATGTTCTGGATGTATCAGGTGTTTCTGTTTGCCAACTCCAAGTGCAAACGCTATTTCCACAACCGGTTGAAGCCATCCAAGCTGACATGGACTGCCATGTACAGAAAACAGCACAAAAAGGTAAACCCTCTAAGTGTCCTTTGGTGTTCTTGATGATAAATGTTCTCAGATTTGTGGCTGGGTTTTGATTTGAAACAATGATGATGACCCCTAATTCTTGAGCTTTAAATATTTATTCTACTTAGGATATCGCCCAAGAAGCTGTGAAGAAGAGGAGACGGGCCACCAAGAAGCCGTACTCCAGGTCCATTGTAGGTGCTACTTTGGAAGTCATTCAGAAGAAAAGAACTGAGAAGCCAGAGGTTCGTGATGCTGCCAGAGAAGCTGCTCTCCGGTTAGATTTCTCCCAACCATATCCATCACTATTGATATCGCAGAATACCCACCTTCCTAAACAAAATTTGGTCGTATACGGTGCAGTGAGATAAAGGAGAGAATCAAGAAGACAAAGGATGAGAAGAAGGCGAAAAAGGCAGAGGTTATGTCTAAGCAGCAGAAGTCTCAGGCTAAGGGAAATCTCTCCAAGGGGGCTGCACCCAAAGGTCCCAAGTTGGGAGGTGGCGGTGGTAAACGCTGATAAGGCAAAGCCTCTCTTGCCTCTACTCTTTTGGTAGTTTGCGCCTTTTATAGTGTTATTTGTTCATTTTCAGAACATTCTGCAAGAATACCTGACTGAGTTGTTGTGCTGTCCATTTTATGCACTCAGGAGAATTTGTTTGTTGCGTATGAACTTTGTTAAGTTGTTGAGATTATTACCGGTTAAACAGATTTGGCTCGGTTTCTTTACCGGTTATCTGTAATGTGTATTGGTATTTGATTTCGGTTGTATAACCTATCAATCAAAGTTTGACAAATTGGAAGACGGTGAAAGTACAACCTAAGAGTTTCTGTCACAGCATCGAACTGAAGGTGTTTGGTCTTCCATCTGGATCTCCTGTTCTGAAACCAACCCGGAGTATGTCTCTGTTGCGGTTGGAGTTGTTTCGAAAGCTTCATCTGTATATGTATACATTAGTATCCAGCTGGCGACTGCTTCGCCTCATCTTAAATTGTGATTCATTTCAATGGCATCTCGTGACGGTCACGACCGTCGATTTTCCTTCCCGAAACTCCAACCCAAACCCGAATGTCAAATTCTCATAAATAACATTACGGGTTTACATTGTTTCGATGAACGAAAAAGAAGAAAAAAAAAGGTTGTAGATTAGTTGTATGCGGCACGGTCACATGGGGTGACAAAGGGCACGCATTAAATTGGTCATTGCTTAATGAAATAAACAACGTTTTGGGCCCAAATTGTTTCATATAAAATAAATATTTTGGTCCCTCCTCCTTTATGAACAAGTTTTTATTTCTTATTTGTAGGAGTTTTAAGAACAATTGAGAACATAAAAAACCGACACGCCTGGTGGGATTCGAACCCACAATCGTCTGATTAGAAGTCAGACGCCTTATCCATTAGGCCACAGGCGCTGTTTCATAATATGAGGTTAACCAGTATGATGAACTACAAATGTAGCGCAACTAAATAACAGAAACCGACTATTTTCCTCGTGAAAACTCGACAAGATAGAACAAAAGACTTAAATCTTAACTCCCGCCCAGAAAAAATCTGCGTTAGCAAACGCCCGAACATCAATATCCTAAATACAAGAACCAAGTCCCGGAGATGTATGTTTTACTCCGGCTTTCTTCCGACATTTCTCGCCGGTGTAGCAAAAAAATCACAATTGTTTTTCTTTTTGTAGGGAGAGAGAGAGAAGAGTAATGCAGCGAGAGAGAGAGGCAGAGAGGTTGGATCTAATCTTCGAGCTCGATGATCTTGACCACGGAGGCATCACCCACTTTCTGACAGACAACGACTCTGTCATGGGACTTTATCACTCCGGCTTTCTTCCCGTGGTCGAGCGCCACCCTCAATACCGACTCATTTGTCGCGCTCGTTGATTCCGCCTGTACAAAACCCATATTATATCTTTTTTTCCAGATAGAGACCGACCCCAATAAAACACTTGACAAAGGAAGAGAGTCTAGTAAAGTTTCAAACGATGGATTTGACCACATTTTGACGTTTATATCTTATACAGCTCATGATGAGAGGAGATGAGATGACTTACGGGGTGACGAGGGTCAGCGAGCATGGGGAAGAGGCCTCGGACAATAAGTGACTGTCTAGCCTGATAGAGCACGGAAATATAAAGATTACGATGTTTAAACCTTAGAATGTCATGAATAAAACCGCAAAGAGAAGGTATCGGAATATGCAATTTACAGACGGTAAGGTAAAAGGGTTTTAGTCTTCCATTTGAAACTTTGGCCCCATTAGAGATTTGTAAATCGGTTGACAAACATGACTAACATACCGCCAGAATGTGATAATCCAAAGGGTAATTCATTTTTATGGTCGGAAATTGATTGATATGAAGATAAATTTGGTTTCTTAAACCATGGTGTAGAAATCATGTATCTTGACAAGTAGCAAGTGACACAAGAAAAAAAAACTGTCATTTTGACAACAAAAAATTATCCAAAGTGGAAAATATTACCTCAAAGGCTCCGGTAAAGCTCCACTTGAGCTGATTAGTCTTGACCCTGGGAATGACAACCGACAGAACCGGCATTGTTGGCCGATATTTGGCAATCAACCTACAGAAAAAGTGGATAAATTGATAAGAAAGCGCGGATACGGATGTCCGAAATAACAAGACAACAAATGCCCGAAAAAGACATGTACCTCGCTGCTCTTCCTGAAGAGGTGAAACATATAATAACAGAAGCTTTAACCTTAATGGCTGCCCGTACCTACAGCATTAGCATGTGCGGGTTAGGATCATCGGTTATGAGGACGGCCCTTTTCTGAATAAAAAGCACATACCCTCAGCTTATCGGTAATATTTACACGGCATAGGGTAAGAGTCTTACAGCAGAAGAAGCAATAGATTCCAAGTGAGTCATTGGTTCTCCGACAAACTTGACAGTCTTCTTGAAATACACATCTTGATTGAAAACCTTCTCGGCCTGTGAACAAGAAAAAAAGATTGTGAAAACCCAATTACCAAATCAGATGAAAAAACATGATTCCATCCACGCATTTACAGGATGTTTAGGGTTTTCAGAGAAAGAAGATGAAACGATAGCTAAAGGGATAGATGATAAAAGTCTACCTCAGCACAGATTTTACCAACAGTTGAAATCGTCTCAACAGGGTACAGCCCACGAAGGGTCTCAGCACCAAGAAGAATTGCATCACTTCCTGAAGCGGGTAAAATGGAAAAATTGCTGACAAGTTAGGACCAAAGCCATGAGCCAGAACTAGGGCAATTCCCTTCACCATATAAAACCAATCCGATGAAAACAGCGAATTCTCCAATAAAACGTTAATATACCATCTAAAACAGCATTAGCGATATCTGTTGCCTCTGCACGAGTTGGTCTCAGGTTGTCGGTCATACTGTCTACAACACGAGTGACAACAGCTGGCTTTCCAGCCATGTTACATTTGTGAAGTGCAGCTTTTTGAAACAAGAACACCTGTTCGGTTAAGAGACAACTTAGTACTGCTCCATAAGGAAATGGCATCACTTGAGTGACACACCAACCAAGGCAAATCGATAAGAGACAAGATCTTTCATCTTTGGTACCGAACTGACTACTTAGCTGGACTGAGGAACTTACCTTTTCTGGCGGCAGATCTATACCCAGATTCCCACGAGAGAGAATAATGCCATCAGCTTCTTGTATAATCTCGTCAAAATGGGTCAGCCCCTAAAAAATCAGATATATAAGCACCAGCCCAATGAAAACAAGATTCAGGTTATAGAAAATGGAGAAAAGCAAGCAATGAATTTCACTTACCTCAACATTTTCAAGCTTTGCAAAAATTTGAGTTTGAGAGAGGTCACCCAACTTGGAAAGCAATTCACGAGCCTGTGTTATGGTGCAGAAAAAGGTGGTTAACCACGCCTCTCAGCAACTGGAACTTGAAGTCAACATTAGGTAGCGGGTTAAAAGAAAAACAATCTGATCTCACCTGGCGAACATCTTGGGCATGTCGAGTATAAGACAGTGAGAGAAAATCAATTTTGTTTTGAACTCCCCATGTGCTTATAACCTGAAGAATGACCAACAAATTTACAACAAAATGGTTAAAAACACAGACAGAAACAGTGATCATTGACCGTCTAGAACTGTAAGCCGTTATGACCTCCTTATCCTTCTCAGTGAGGGTTGGCAGATCAATGTGAACTTGAGAGGCATGCAAAGTGAACAATGAACCAGCTAGAGTAGCAGAGTTCTTTGCCACACAAATGACATCATCTCCTTTGACCTCATCAACCTGCAAACCCATGGAAATGGTTAGACATACTCAGACACATATATCTTATATTCTAAAATATGGAGATTAGCCATATATTAGCTTCATTCTTACCTCAAGCCAAACAGAGGTTGTTTCACTACCAGTGAAGAGGTACTGCCCGACAAAGATAGTGTCTCCCTTCTTAACTGCCTAGAAACATCAAACATGAGGATTCATTACACACCAAGCAAATAACGCCAACACGTGATCTCATCCCATTCGAAAGTCAGATGATAAGGGCAATGGGGAACCTTGGCTAGCCCATCAAAATTTATAGGAAGGACTTCAGAGGAGGCTTCTTGATCTTTATTTGGTGTCAGAACTACGAGACCATCCGCTTTAAGCGAAATAGATTTCTCAGTCTTGTTAATGACTTGCAATTCAGGTCCCACCGTGTCAAGCATAACCTGGAGATCAACAAAAGCATCTCAACTCAAGCTCAACCCTACCAAAAGTAAAAGTCCTTCACATTAACAAAAGACACCGGGGTGCTCTCTCTCACATACTATCTATCCACAAAACCTTTATTCATCTAAGTAGCGACCACACATAAAACAGTAATTTTAGATCCATCAAAGGATTATTGACTTAAAAGCTCAAGGCAAATCCAAAGACCCAACAGAAAGCAGAGAACATACAGCACAAAGCTTCTTAGTGCTCTTCACAGCTATCTTCAGATTCTCCAGCGTCTCCTGATGATAATCCGCGTCGCCCCAAGAGAAATCAAATCGAGCCACTGCCCAGAAAAGAACACAGCAGAAAAGTAAATTACTGAGAAAAACCAAAACCTAAAACACTATGCCACAATAAAAATCAAACGGAAGTTATTACCTGACATCCCAGCTTTGAGACAGCCAGAAATAACCTCGACGGATCGGGATTTCGGTCCGAGAGTCCCCACAATCTTAGTCATTGCTGGAAAGAAAGACTGCGAAACACATCGGAAAGGATTAAGAAAACCTTAGAGACAACCCCAGAAAATATTACTACCTCCCGGGAGAGACTCCGCAACAAATCCAACCCAAACAGCAATTCGATTGAACAACAAGTAAATAAAAAAAACACAGAGAGAGAGGGAGAGAGCTCACTGATTTGGAAGGCTCGAGAATCGAAGCCATCCTGATGGGCTCCTCGAGAAGAATATGACTCGAATGCATATTCGGTGATCGGAAATCAGAGATCTCAGATTCTCGACGGAGACGATGACGGCGGAGAGACGCAGAGGAACTTTCGATGGGAGAAGAGACGAAGAAAGCGTCGTTTTTTGGGGGTTCTATAATGTTTTTGACGGTCGAATTTTCTCGCCTTTTATTTTCCTTTTACCCCTAAACTTTAATTTAAATTCTATTTAACCCCAAATGTTTTACATGTAATTATACCCCCCTGATACCTCGTTTTATTAGTTGATTTTCAATAAAGAATAATAGCCTTATATATATAGCTTAATAGAACATTGTGGTATCACCATCTCGGTTATTAATATATAAGTATTAAACAGAGATGAATGATTATTAAATAATTAAATAAAGCAGTAGAAATATATATCTTTACTTATAATAGAAAATCGTTCAAATGAAAAAACATACTAATTATAAATATATATTCCAAAACTTTAAACATGCCTATTAATTTTTATACTTGTTTAATTGTAAACAAATAATTATTATTTATTTTTTGTAAATAGATCTTATTTTTAAATAAAAATTCACATTTTACTAATAAAAACAGAGTAAATCGTGTGAAAATATTTATTTTTTAAATAACTGTAAACACAAAATACTAAATGACAATATCAAATTTTAATAATGATAATTGTAAATGTTAGTACATTTTCAATAACAAATATTTTTAGAAAATAATTTGAATTGTATATTATTTTGTTACCGTTGAAATAAAATTATAAATAAAATAAATAATTTAGTTTGACATTAATTTAATTAAATTCGATGTGAAAAGACAATTAAGAATAAAATTTTAAAATTTTAAAATTTTCATATAATTCGTATATATATCTATTTAAAATATAATACCACTTTTTAGAAAATCAATAAACGCAAATTATTTTTATTCTTATTGGTTAATTTTGATCAATTCAACCGATATTAAAGCGGATCGGTTCAATCCGACGAATTTAAAAAAAAATCATTTTTCAGAATAAATTTGGTATTTTTAATGGAATTAACCTTATTCTTATTTATTGCTTTTACTATCTTGAAATTATAATAGTTGAAAATTATCTATTAACAGATAATTTAATCATTATTTTTTAAAAGTAGACAAATATGCAACTTACGCAGCTAGCTAGCATCTCACGTTGTAAATCTGTGATAATCAACGTGGTTTCTAAAATTGTAAAATTCAATAGTATAGGTGGAACTAGAATAATATTTCAAACTATAGGGTTAAATTAGCAAAAGGTAGACAATAAAACGACTAAATTGCAAAACCCTTTTAACTGTACACCATATAAACTGTTTCAAAGGGGATGATCGTGTTCCTCTGTAGCCATCCACGTGGCAGATCAGGGAAATATCAAAGGCTAAAAATGGTAAAAGCACATGGTGATGGAGCATCTTCCTGAGAACCAAAAATCGATTCGAATCTTACAAATTGCAATGATATGTAAAATAATTAAAATTTAGAAAATAAACAATTTTATAATCAATACAAATCCAAAGAAAATTGAACGAGAATAGAAAATGAATATTAAAATTTCAACAATTTTTACCCTCACTCAATTTTATAATCAATAAACAATTTTTACCCTCACACAATTTATTAACCTTTTGTTCACAAATTTTATGTCTTATTGAAAACTTCATCAACTCACAGTCATTAAAAAAACACTCTAATATTTGTATGTTAGTTAAAAATAAAATATTTTAAATTCTGTAAATATCAGTACAATAATATTCTGAAATTTCTTCTCCTCATAATTATATTATTCATCTACATAAGAGATTATTTTACGTTATCTTGGACTTCAGAAGATTTAAAATAAATATATTTTCAAACTATAGTTTTATCTTTTTTATTATATATTTGTAATCAAAATAAAATACAGGGTTTGATGTTCATTGAGGTTATTATACCTTATAGTAGGAGAGGGAAATGAGGTTTTGTTAGGTTGTTTTTCAGGTTTGTATTTTTATTTTTTTAATTATATTCATTCGATCTATTTTTTTCAATTCTATTTGAGTTTTGGTCCGGTTCAATTTGAATTCGATTTTCATTACTTTTTTAAAGAATTTATTTTTTCTTATTTTCATTTTCGATTTAGATTTATTTCTTGGATTAATATTGTTTTAGGAAAATCATATTATTTGTCTATCTAATTTTGTTCTGTTACAGTTAAGTGTTTCAATTGAAGCCTCCGATATTTCAAATTCAAATTATATTTTTCGGGTCGATTTAGTTTTTGTGATTAGCCAAAACATAACGGTGCAAAAATAGAATAACCTTAAAATCGCAGGGACCAAAATGTGAAACACTTCGGTGACGGCGTACCTACTAAAGTGACGGGCTTTGACGCAACCTCAGCCTCAGCGACGATGATCGGCGATAACGCCTTTTCTCAGGCCGACCAGTCCCCGTCTACGAACCCTAATCTCGGAATTCCGGTCTGGTTTCCTTCCTTCATGTCCTTCTTCATTGCAACTCCCCGTTGGAAAATATCAGAATTAGGGTTTTTTCTATTGGTTTGATTATGCTTGGAACCGATTCGATTCTGCTTGTTCGATTTGACGTAGAGAGATAGTTCAGATTCGAATTTTGATGAAATGGGTGTTTGACTTTTGTTGTCTTGATGGATTTGGTGTTTCAATCAGACCGATTTGCGGGCAAAAATTGACATTATCAGGCTGTTCTTATGGTTTCAGATCGAAGAGGGGTCTCACAGCAGCGAGCAGATACTTGAAGACAGTGGGGATGACCTTGGAATTGAGAGCAATGATCTCGAGGTTGAAGAAAACGAGCTCCAGATCGAAGCGAACGACCTTGGTCTAGAAGAAGATGAAATCGGTATCCGAAGCAACGAACTTGATGAGAATGAATGCGATGGATTGCTTGAACTTGACAGTAACAGTGACAATCGTGATGACGATGAGAGTCGTGGCGGTGGTGATACTTATACAGCTGAATGCGAAAGCGTTGAACCCCAATGGAAGAGCTATCCACCTCCTGTTGCAGGAATGGAGTTCGATTCGTACGATGATGCGTACAATTACTACAATTCCTACGCGAGGGAGCTAGGGTTTGCCATCAGGGTGAAATCTTCATGGACGAAGCGTAACAGCAAGGAGAAGCGTGGGGCTGTGCTGTGCTGCAACTGTGAGGGTTTCAAGATGGTTAAAGAAGCGAACAGTAGGAGGAAGGAGACGAGAACGGGTTGTTTGGCAATGATAAGGCTGAGATTGGTGGAATGTAATCGTTGGAAGTTGGATGAAGCCAAGCTTGAACACAATCACCCGTTTGATCCGGAAAGAGCCCAGAACTCGAAATCTCACAAGAAAACGTGTTGTGCGGCCAAAAGAAAGATTGAACCGTCTGTCGATGTTGAGGTCAGGACAATCAAGTTGTACAGAACACATGCTGGTGATGCATCAGGCCATGGAACTTCAAACTCCAGTGGTGATGCGGGCGATCGAAATCATGAACTTGCTGATTGTTCGAGGCGTTTGGAGCTGAGAGACGGAGATTTTAGAGTTATACAAGATTTCTTTTGCCAGGTTCAGCTTACGAGACCCAATTTCCTTTACTTGATGGATCTGAGTGATGACGGGTTTTTGCGGAATGTGTTTTGGATTGAGCCCCGGGCTAGGGCATCGTACTCACACTTTGGAGATGTGGTTGCATTTGACACGACATGTTTGTCTAACAAACATGATATTCCCCTTGTTGCATTTGTCGGAATAAACCATCACGGGGATTCAATCTTGCTCGGCTGTGGTTTGCTATCGGATCAGAGCTTCGAGACCTACGTCTGGGTGTTTAGAGCTTGGCTTACATGCATATCGGGCCGCCCACCTCAGACCATAATTACAGACCAAAGCAGGACGGTTCAGAGTGCGGTCTCAGAAGTGTTTCCACGGGCTCATCACCGTCTGAACTTGACCCATGTCTTGCAAAGCATTTCCCGGTGTGTTGTTGGGTTACGAGATCTAGAATCATTCCATACCGTATTGAACAGAGTGGTCTATGGTTCTCTCAAGGTCGAAGAATTTGAAATGGCTTGGGAAGATATGATCTTGCAGTTTGGGCTAACGAATCATGAGATCATCGGCTGCTTGTTTCAAGATCGGGAACAGTGGGCTCCGGTGTACCTGAAAGACACATTTTTCGCCGGTATGCTGACATTTCAGCTTGGGAACGCCACATTACCGTTCTTCTTCAACGACTATGTCCACCAACACATGTCCCTGAGAGGATTCTTCGACGGGTACGAGTCTTTTCTCGCCAAAAAGTACAAAACAGAAGCTATCCTCGATTCCGAGTCATCAAACTCAATCCCCGACTTGAAAACAGCGTACCCGTTCGAATCCCAGCTTGCGAAAGTCTTCACCAACGAGATATTTAGAAGGTTCCAAGACGAGATCTTAAGGATGTCTTCATGTTTTGGCATAACACAAGTCCACTCAAATGGGCAGACCTCAACGTACGTTGTCAAAGAACGAGACGGAGATAAAGTTAGAGACTTTGAGGTCATTCACGACACGACGGGCTCGGAGATACGGTCCGTATGTATCTGCGGATGCTTCAGCTTCAACGGGTACTTATGCAGGCACGCACTCTGCATCATAAGCCACAACGGCATGGAGGAAGTTCCGTCTCAGTATATATTGAAGAGGTGGCGGAAAGACGTGAGGCGTTTATACGCTGCAGATTTCGGGTGCGGAACCGTAGATTTAACGAACCCGGTTCAGTGGCAGGAGCATTTGCAGAGAAGGGCAATGCAGGTTGTGGAGGAAGGGATGAAATCAAAGGAACACTGCAGTGTGGCTTGGCAAGCGTTTAAGGAGGCTGTAAATAGAGTTCGTCTCCTCACAGATAAAACGGTTTGATTGTTTGTTATTGAACCCCTGGTTTTTTGGATGAAAAGTGTAGGCGAACAGATAATGTAAGCAATTGTCTTTTAAGTTAGAAGAAAGAATAACACGTGTCAAATGTGAAGGGTATTATAACCATTTTGGATTTCGTTTCATTCGGTTATATTCGGTTTTGATTATTTAGGTTGTAGAAAAATTATAACCATTCATTTTTTATATAAACTTCGGTTGGTCTGGTTCGAATTTGATTTTTTTTAAAAAAAATTATATTTTCAAAAAAATTATCGATTTTTTCACTTATCTTTTTTAATCGGTTCGGTTCGATTTTGACTTTTTCGAATTTAGAGAAATCATAATTATTCAATTTTTTTTGTCGGATTCGATTCGGTTACATTTATATCTTATTCGAATCTCTTCGATTATTTGGTTAATAATCAAAATAATTGTTCGGTTCTCTTCAGTTATTCGGTTAATAAAAAAATAGTCATCGTGTATACAACCGCTTAGGGATAGAATTTAACAACTATCTTATGTTTTCGTGTATTTTTGAATCTCAAAACCTTATAAATATAGATTCGAAATAGAACGTCCAAAATTACCAATAATCGATCTATGTTCAATCCTAGAATTCGTTGTTCCAAGAAGATTGACATTACATAGATGTTTTTGAGGTTTTTTTACATGATATTGCGGTTTCCTTCTTTTTTATTTCAATAAAAAAAAATTACCAGTTTCTAGACATTAAGGTGGTCCACTGTTTGAACCTATGATTCGCAATCTAATTGGGATTTCGGACCTGTCTTTTTAGGCGTTTAAAATATTCTAACTTTATGATAACATAAAAATAAATGATAGCACTTATCTAATAGTAATGACAGCATGGAAGAAATTTAAATACTATTTTGTCAAGAAAAAAATATTAACTCAAAAAATTTCATTGGCGTCACTCATTGGCACTAAAAAGAAATATAATCTAGTTTTGAATTATTCAATCTATAATTTCTATTATTAGAATAGAGAAAAATACTTATCAGTTTAAAATAAAAAAAATATCAAAAAATTTCATTATTTTACTATTTTTACTTGAAGACATGATAGCTTGTGTATTTGGTGGAATCTAATACAAAGAGTTTTAATGTGATTTAGTCGTGAGAAATAGTTGAAAAAATCATATATTTTTGTATTTGAAAATAGTTATATCCTTTCTATTATCGTTTTCTTGATAGAATATAATATTATATTGTGATATTTATTTTCATTATTATTTGTATATCGAAAATTCAACAGTAATTCGATTAAACAAATTATTCAATAATGGGCAAAAAAGTTTTTTTAAAAAATATAGTAAAATTTAACAAGTTGTTATATGAGTTCAAACGAGTGAGAGAAAAAATGATCGTTGCTGAAAAATGATATAGATAAAGAGTGACTCTTAACATGTTGTTATATGAGAGTGACATGGGAACAAATCGAATGCATCTGAATAAGAGGAATCCGATAGTTGTGTGGATACGAGACCTTTTTCTTTTTTGTATGAGTATTTTTTCATCTAAATGAGAGTTGTATGAGTATTTTTCTTTTTTTGTAGTGACCTTTTTTGTTTTTTATAATGAGAGAATTATAAAATTAAATGTGTCCACTTTAGAATAATGTTAGTATAGATGACTTCGTGTAAAGTGTGTGAATAAATAATTGATGAGTTAATTGATGAGTATAGTTTTAATGTTCCGTAAGATTCGGATGCATAACAAATGATATCATAGTTAGTACGATGAATCATACTATTATCTGTACAATGAATCATAAAATTCAAGCTGTATTTTTTCATCAGCAAGTTTTAAATACATAAAGATTTAATTAGAATTTCATCTTCCGACCAAATAAATATTTTGTATTTATTTTGTACAAATTTTAAATACTTCTACTTCATTCGAAATTCATCTGAAAATATATTCTATTTTATATTTCCCCAAATATCTATCTGTACAATATAAGTTTTCAAATAATTTGTATTTTTCACATACATAACCCGTATATATTATGAAAGCGACCATAAATGGTGCTAGAGGGATATAAACTATCAATAAAACGAGAAAAGGGTCAAAATTTCTTCAAAATAATTGATTTAATTGAAAATAAGCACTTAAAGAAAATATTTTTAATCATAATATACATACGCAGAGAGAGAGAGATTAAAATTAATTTTATTTTTTGGACGATGATGTAGGAGTTTACCGAAAACGTATTTCTCCCTCTTTGGTTATTATCTGTTTCTGCTTTTATAAAAAGAAGCTATAAAAATAAATCAGAGCGCAATTGGATTAAAGGGAAAGCAAAGGTATTTAATGGACGTATGAAACGTAGGGGGAGGAGTACACGTAGACAGCGGGAATTTAACGGTAAGAAATGACGCCGTTAGTGAGATGGAATCGGCTACGACAACGCACACGAATCTACTACAAAACCATTGGTTCCAACGGAAGCAAGCAGTCCTTTTAAGCACGTGCCTAAATTTTCTCGTTATTTGCCGTTGGATCAAATCTAGAGAGTTTTGATCGGACGGTCGTAAAAATTAATAGACAGCGCGTTGAAGCTCGTATTCCGTCCGATCCGTCAACGGTCCAACCGACAGCTTTTACGCCATTGGCCGCTTTCCGCAGGATTTTAAGATCTTTTATTAGTGCTATATCTTCTAATTTCAGCCTACAAATCTTCCTAATCATTTTATTAAATCACTTGTAAATTTTTGTTAATCCTTTTTTATTAGTTTCCCTCATTTTACTCTTCCTAATCTAAACTCAATGTTAAATTCTAAATTCTAACTACCAAGTTGATTCTAAAATCTTAAATCTTAAACAAATTATAGAAATCATAGTTTAGATTTTAGGTTTTAAAATTTATTTAGGATTTAATATAAATTGTTGATTTAGGTTCTAGAATTCTATAGATCAATGATTAAAAGTTTGGGATTAAGAATCTATGATTTAGTGTTTAATATTTAGGGTTATGAGTAAATCGTGAATAATAGAATGAGAAAAAGAGAAGGAAAAAATAATTAAGAAAATTATAGGGTGGACCAATAAAATTATTATAAAAATATTTAACTAAAACTTTAGGTAAATATATCATTACTGTTTTATTTCTTTTGTGAAATATCGAAGAATAAACTGAAATAGAAAAAATAAATATCACAACCAAAATTAAAAAGCTTTTACGGAAATGTTTAATTCATTTTCCTAATATACAGCTTTTTATTTTCGGCATATCTAACCTTTATATTATATATCATAATATATAATTTCAAAATACAATTGGATTAGGAAAATACAACTAATTACATTTTTGTATAAGGCCAAATTCAACGGTCATTAAGAAATCCTTTTTGGACTATTCCTATACGAGAACTATCATAAAAAAAATAAACTATTTTTGGGTAACTTTTGTCTTGGAGTAGAACTGTAGAATGTTGTCCTTCTGTTTTATTGAACGTCTTCCGCCAATGTAAGATTTTTTTTTTTTTTGTGAAAATTTTAAAATAAGACTTGAAATATGTTGAAGGGTAATTTGGTAAAAAATGTTCTAAAATTTTGAAAATAGATTTTTTTTGGGACAAAAATTACGCAGAGTATCATTTTAATATACTTTTTTTAAATAAAACTAAATAAACCAATATTCAAAGCTAGTGAATCTCTTTTGAAATAGTTGAGATAAAATTACCCGAAAATAAAATAGTATCCATAGATATATGATTTTAGGATCCTACTTTTATTCAAATTTGAATCCGTTAATATTCATCCATCCGATTCTGAATCTGAATAACATAATTTCTTAAAATACCTATTCGAGAATATTCAATTAGTTTTTCTATAGACAATTATACATCTATATGTTTATAAAAAATTCTAAAAATATATATTTTTTGAAATAAAGTTTTTTATTTGTCAACATTATCTTAAAAACACTAAATTCATTTATATATATATATATATATATATATATATATATATATATATTTTACCAATTCTCTCTTGTGCTTTTCCACATCTGT